AACATATTAAGCTAGTTTATGCTAATATAGCTTATATTATGCTTAGCGCGCAAAGAATTAGCTATATTAGCTACAGCTGCTAGCTAGAGGGGAAATCCTTACGCATTTAGCTTAAGTATGTGCTAAATAATTACCTGCTCTTTGTTATTGTCTAGCTTTTATAAGTTAGCTATATAATTAGCTTAAAAAGGTTGTTTAGCGCGTTAGTTACTTATTATCTTTTAAAGAACCTTATAGATAGCTGTAGCCTGTTAGTTAAAAAGTGTTATGTTTTATTTAAAAGCCTAGAGCGTAAGCTGCATCTAACATTTTTTAACATGTTTAAGTAGTGTTGTTAGGAATGTATTAGTGTAGGAAAAGTAGTATAGTAGGGTCTTAGTAAAAGTAAGCGACTTAGGTGTGTGAGCAACTCGCCTATGAAGTATGTTATACTAAAAAGACTTTTTTTTTTCTAGAAATAAACTTTAGTTTTTAAAAAGTTTCTTTTTACTATTTTTCTCTTTTACGCTTTTTATAGAAGTTGTTATAAGTTATTACCTACATAATAAAGTTTTTAAGAGTAGTTAGTTTATTATTATACATAAATTTATCTTTTATAATGTTACTTAGCCTATTATAGAACAAGCAGCAGAAAGCCTTTTAGTCTATTTATTTATAGATAGCTAATTATTCTCTAAAGCGTACTGCATAGTTTTAAGCTATGCTTTTTTCTTATTTTAGAGTGTTTAACTTATTAGCTGTAATTTTTGTTTATCTATAGTTTTATAAATAGCTATTAAAGCATTTTTAAAAGCTTTAACACTACTAAACACTTTCTTTGTTTTAGAAGTAAGTGTTATGCTATTAGCTCTAAGGTCTATCTAATTATCTACATGTAGTTAGAACTAAATTATAAAAAGGCCTTTTAAGTATAGTCTTATTTAAGATATTATTTCTATATTAGTCTAAAATGCTTCTTTATTGTATTACATATAAAGGTAGCATCTAGTAAAGAAAAGGTAGAAGTCTTTTAGTAATTTTTTAAAAAGCTTTAAAAAGGCTAATCTTAAAGTCTTTTTAGCTGTAATGCTTATTCTCTTAGTTAAAATGTTTTAAAGTTTAGCTAGCTCTACTTATAGTACGTGTATCTAATGCGTAGAGCTAGTAGCTTGCTAGGGATTTATAGGTAATAAAAAGTTATTAAATTTTACTACTTTTTAGTAAAAGTTTTTAACTTCTTTTTAAACATTTACTAGTTTATTTATTTTATTACTAATTTACTAGAGTTTTTTTATGTTGTCTTAGATTATATTAATCTGTTCTGCTAAAACAGCTTTACTCTAGGTGGGAACTTTTATAGATTCTAATAGGGCTGCGTAGGCTATGTTAGAATTTAAGTTGTGTTAAGTAGTTATACTTTTTAAAAGGGGTAGTGTTTAATGTTATAATTCTTACTTTATAAAAGCACTTAGGTTAATAGTGTTCCTAATAAAAGTAAGATAGAAATAAAGAAGCTAACAGCAGGGTGTACAGTCCTGCGTAAGAGCTATTAGGCTAATAGAGGGGAGTAGAGTGACTAGATTATAGTTTGCCCTAAGTGCAGCAGTATAGTAGCTAGGGTTAAACAGTCCTGTTAGACAGGGTTAGAGGTATATATAGTGTAAGATATATAAATAGTATTATAGCTCTTTAAAAAGCTAAATGCTACTTAGTCTATGTAAAGAATAAACTAAATGTTAAACACACCTTCTAAAAGTTATTTAATATAAGGACTATATACATGTATAGAGGGCGCTAAGGTGAGCAGGACAAGTTTGCGCAAGCCTGCTAAGAAGAGCTCTATAAGCTCTCTTAGACTTGTTAGACTTGTGGCCTGTTCTCCTATTAGACAACACACCCTTCTATTACCGCAGGCAGCTGCGCTGCCTCCGTGTCCTCCGACTGGTTCATAAGCGAGCCCTGTTCCAATCCGATCAGATTGTGGAGCACCATGGGTGGAGTTACGCTGGTCCAACCATAGACCGTAACATAATCTTATGTTTCTAGACAAGTTAATATTTAATAAAAAGACTAGCTAGCAGCACTACACGTACACTCTAGTAGGCTATAAGAGTTATTATACTTAGAGTATTAAGCAGAGAGACACCTAGGCAATCCTACCTGCGTATACTGTACACAGCTACCTTCTATGTATAGTAATTAAGGAGGGCTACTTTACTATAAAGGATTTTATTTAGTAGATTTAGAACATCCTTCTCCTTACACTTGTTAGATATGCGCACCTAATGTTAAGACAGGAGGAACGCTGGACAAAAGCTGCTACATAGTACAAGTAATAAGCTTAAACAGTATGTTGCTGCAAATTGCTGCATGTTGCAGCTGGTCGCGCATAGAGCTAGTGCGCGAGGGACTTAGACCAGAAAAACAAAGCCAAGCAACACAAGCAGAGCAGACAAAAAAGAAAAAGAAACATTAATTAATTAATACAATTAAATCATCATCCTATACATTATATCTAAAACCTATTTATTTATCTTAGGAAGCCTAGAAACAGTGCTTTAATCTAACAACACTTTAATTTATGTATAGTCCTAAAAACATAGTTATTATACTTAATAACATTACTATTTACATAAATAATAAAGTAGAAATAGTTATCTAGGCTACTAGCTATTCTGTTTAGTACCTACTTTTATACTTACCTAATTATAATCCTATTAAGCTTACCTTTGTAGTGTTAAAGGCTTAAATCTAGAGAAACTACATGTACACGCGCGCTTGCTATAAAGGTGACTTTAAGGCTTTCCTAACTACTACTATTTAGAAGAGTAACTATAATAAATTTGTAAAGAAGCACTTTAAATACACTGCTAGTAGGCTATATATTAAGTAAAAGAAGCTTAATTAGGTAAGGCGTAAGATTCTATAGTACTAAATAATCCTATTAACACTATATAAAGTATCTTTATATATAATAGTAATGTATAAAGCACTTTTATATTACATCTTATTAAATCTTTTTATAAACACTTACTTATCTACCTTACCTCTAGCGCCTCTGCTAAGGGTAAAGAGACTGCCTACTATATAATATACCTGCTTAAAATGTTAGAGATTCTTACTTAGGTGTTAAACTACACTATCCTTTAGGCTAAATTTTATAGTAATAAAATAAAGGTTACTTTTAAAGTTAGCTATCTAGTAGAGATTCTTAATAGTCTACCTTTACTTAACAGCTACTTTACGCGCCTATTTAAAATTAACATGCTTATTCTCTAGCTGCTAGACTATAAGCTAGGTAAAGAACTTTTATATAACTTTTTAAGTATCCTCTTTACTGCCTCTAGTTACTAGGCTAGATAAAAAAGCTAGAATAGGCTTTAGTGCTAAAGTCTTTACTTAGTAAGGCTATTAATACTGTAGATTAAAGTAAGCTAGCAAAACTAAAGTAAAAGCTACTACTTTTATTTACTATAGCTAAAACTCTTAAAGCTTATACTTTTTTGCCTAAGCAGCTTTATCTTTCTTTATCTATGCTATTTAATTTAGTACACACTACTTTTTAGCCTGCTTTTATAGCTTTCTAATTAATAAGCTTCTATCTAATAATAATAAGAAGTCCTGCTACGTTTTTTTTAGTAACTATAAAGATTAAACTTAAGCTAATTCTTATGTAGCTTTAACACCTTAATTATATCTAAATAAAAAAGCATAGCTAAGGACTTACTATTAATAATTAATTATAACTACTGCTTAGCATCTATAGGTTTAATCTTATAGTAGCTGCTATTTAAATAGATATAATACTATCTTCTAAAGTTCTTATAACTAGCTACGCTGCTTTACTATATCTTATAGATTACTAACTAATAATCTAGCTTAGATTTAATAACAGCAACATAATTAATTACTTAAGCTTTACATAAAAGCTTCTGCGTACACTTTTTACTTATTATTAGGGTATTATTCTTTAGCAGTATTAAGGATAGCTTATTTACTAACATGTTATGTATAAACGCTTTTTTTAATATGTTAACTTATAAAGAGATCTTTACTTAAAACTTAACATGTGTAACACTTTTATAACACTTAAAATAAAGATTAACAGCGTTAAATAGGCAAGTCTCCTCTATAAAGCTAAAATTAGTATGTAGAAGCTGCTAGAAAGTTGCACCTCTCTTATTACACTTAAACTAAATAACATAACTTTACTAGGTATACTCTTGTCTATTAATTATAAACGCTAGATTATTAATTAACGCTATTACTCTATTTTTTATTAATAATAGAAGAAGGAAGCACTACTTAGTGCTCTCTACATTTCTAGGTCTTCTTACAGTGTTAACATAAAGTAAATATTATATATTAATCTTATACTGTAGCTGTTTAGGCTTAACAGGCAACAAAGCTTAAGCAGGTAGTAAAGCAGGTGGCAGAGCAGGTGGCAGAGCAGGTGGCAGAGTAGGTGGCAAAGATAACAGTAATTTAATAATAATAGAAGCTAGAGGTAGAAAATAAGCTTCTTTAAAGGAAACTAACTTTTTTAAACGCTCTTTAGCAGCAGCAGCTTGCTTATAAGCCTTAAGATAAGCCTTCTGCGCTTTCTGCGCCTTCTGCGCCTTCTTTAGTGCCTAGATAGGTGCTTTTAGAGGTGCTTTGCCACAGCTGTTTGAACGCGTAGATTTAGCTAGAGGCGCGTCTACAGAGCTTATCTGCAAAACACTAAAAGTTAGCTTTATTATTACTAAATTAGGCAATTTTAATAGCCTTACTTTAACAACAAGATTAAGCCTAAATTACACGCAATAGACAACTATTGCGGGCTGGTCTGACTGAGCTAGTAATTTGGGTGGGGAATCTGACGAAGCGAGAATGCCAAGACATTTCACCGATTACCTGCCCCGACAGATCCCAACTCAAACCCTAACTCAAGTAATCACCAACTCTTGATAGCCCACTTCCATGATACCCCGATCAGAAGCCCTGCGTACAGCCTTCCGTGTCCAGTATCTCAAGCCTCCCAGCTCCGATTCCCTGACACCATCCGCAATGGATCTCATGATCTGCTCCATGTGCGGAGCCCAGCACTCTACGCGTGCCGCAAAGTCCTGTAAAGTATGTGATGACCCACGACAATATGTTCCACCAGATGGGTGAGTATATCAGCCCCTCAAAATTTCCACCTCTTTAGCAATCAATTGCGTGTTATTTATGTGGCAATATCCTATCGCAGTCAATCATGGACGACTCTCCGCGAACTTCAACTCTCAGGCAAATACCACAATACCTTCCAACATGACCCTTATCACAGCGGTGTTATTAGCATCTGGACCGAACCACAGGTTGCGATAGGTCAGCGAGCTATACTGTGTTGTACCGACAAAGGAAATGTGCTTTGGGATTGCATAACGTACATCGACGACGAGACAGTGAATCGGATTAAAGACCTAGGCGGTATTTCGGCGATCGTGATATCGCATCCGCATTATTATTCAACATGTCTGCACTGGGCGGAAGCATTTGGTTGTTCGGTGTATCTTTCGGCCGAGGATGAGGAGTGGATAATGAGGAAGGGGGATGCGCAGAAGCTGTGGGAAGGTAACGAGATGGAGTTGTTGGATGGGGAGTTTAAAGTTGTGAAAGTGGGAGGGCATTTTTATGGAAGCTCAGTGATGCTATGGAAAAGTGAGAAAAAGTTATTCGTGGCGGATAGCATCACGGTGGTTCCGAGTGGTGTATATCATGTCGACCGACCGAGAGGGACAGCTTCTTTTACTTTTATGTGGAGCTACCCGAATATGGTGAGTCGTAGCATACTTTTGGCCCAAGTTCGAGGTAATGCGGTTAACGTGTGGCAGATACCGCTTGCGCCTGACTTAGTCCATGGGATCTGGCAAGCCGTCGCAGATTTAGACTTCGAAGACACCCATGGCGCTTTCTTGTTAAAGGATACCCGAGGAAGGAGTAAAGAGCGCCTACTAGACAGTGCGAAGATGTTCGTGAACTCGATGGGGCATTGGGAGCATGCGATCCACAAAGAGACTATCCAACCACTTCTAGCAACGGGTTGAACGCAATGAAATATACTCAAGGCAGAGAGACACGGGTTGAGGGTTTATTAAAGCCTTCTAGTTGCTTAACGCCCCCCCGACAGCTCTCCTATGCGTCCGATATTTTCGATCAGTAGACTGCCGGAATGAAAGATTGGGATGGTGTGAAAGGCTTCAGAACGTATACCAAGCTGTTGAAGGAGCTCTATTTTCACCCGATGGACTGGACCAGTTTGACGTGAATGACTGACGTGAGGAAGGAATGCTCCAGAAAACAAGAAATATAACAGTTTCACGCTTCCCGTAAAAAAGATGGGAGAATATATCTGCGTAAATTAGAACTATGTAAGTGGCAGGCTATCGGCGATGAACGAGTAGGCTCTCGATTCTCCAAACACTTTTCCCCCAAATTTCCTCATTTATTTAACCTCGCCATCCTCTCCGGATCTCTCCACCAAGCACACTGCTCCATTCTTATCCCCTCCCTCTCCCTCTCCATATACGTCCCTCTCCTCCCCATATTCCCAATTACCAACTCCCCACCCCCCAGCCCCCCATACGCCTCCCAATACGGCGCGCCCTCAATGGCATGGGTATTCGGATCTCCCGTCGCCACAAAACTCACATAATATGAGTGATACAATTCAGCAACATCAGGGAACTGGGCATCTGGGAGCCCATTGAAGTATTTCGAATCGCTGGCATGCGGGATGCCTTGCCATGGTTTCGCGTTGTTCGGGGTATTGAACCGAGCTTTGTAGACGGAGAGTCCGGCGGATGAAATGCGGTAGGCAGATTCTTGGATGGGGCAGATGTACGAATAATCGCCGTATGTAGCGCTGATGCGGTTGTATTGCGTTGAGTTGAGGGATTTGGTGTATGGGGATAGGCCTGGACCGAGTGCAGGATCAGGGTACAGTCTGTTCAGGTCTTCAAGATCGGGTTGGGTAAGCCCTGGAGCGAGGTTTGCAAGGAAGTGAAGGTAGTCGGAATTTGTGGTGAGGTTTCTTGGTGTGAACCCTTTCCCCTCGTCTGTCGTGCTGGAGATGAGGAGGGGCAGAGGGAAGAATGTGCCATCCTCGCCAGATTGGGAGGCACGCTTTTCGAATGTAGGGCCAGGGGAAACGGGTTGGAAGGGCCAGGTGATGTTGTACTCGGATGAGGAATACAACCTTGCCTGAGCGGACTGAATGAGACTGATGTCAACGGCTCGGAGACAAGCTAAAGCGGTATCGTTCGGAGATTCGGGGCAATTGAGCGCTGCCATGAACTGTGAAAACTGGCGCCGGTAAAGCGGATACGTGGCATTTGGGAACGCTCGTGCTGTCGGGGACCCGGAGGACAAGATGACCTGGGAAAATAATGGCTTGCCGGCATCTGCTCCATAGTTGTGGAAGTAGTGTATGCCCACAGAATGGCCTCCTGCACTCTGGCCTCCCAGAGTAATTGCATCAGGATCTCCGCCAAACTGAGATATGTAGTACTTTATGAACTCCAGAAACATTCTTTGATCTTGTAGCCCGAGGTTCAAGATCCCCGCTTCTTCAAATAGCGCCGATGGTAAAGAACCCAAAGCTCCAAGGCGGTACTGAAATGTGACGGCCATGATAGGAACGCTTGACGCCGCCACGAAAGCCGCGCCGTCGAAACTTCGCCCACTACCGCCAACAAAGGAACCTCCATGGATCCAAGCTAGAACAGGAAGTTTCTTGGAGAGTGGCACACTAGTCGTGCGGTAGACATTGAGGTTCAGGCAGGCCTCAGACTGTGCATTCGGCGTGCCGGTAGGGTTCTGTATGCAAACAGGGCCGTACTGCGATGAATCCCAGATCCCCTGGAACGGCGGCGGCCATGTTACGGGTGCAAACCTACTCTCACCCACAGGCTGTGTGGCATAATCGATACCAAGCCAGGCATCCACGGCTTCATCCAGAGGGATGCTATTGAGAGTCGTAAGTATCTGGGTGCCATGGAATGTCCCATATTTCGGCAGTCTCACAACGAGGGGGTTCCTCGGCTGTCTCGAGTACGGCGTCGGAGCAGTAGATGAAGCTCTATACGCAAAGAATAAGAGGAGGCCAGTAAGGAGGGATACCATGGCGGTGACGATGCGGCCTCGCAATCTCGAACGTGCGGAGAGAGCGGTAACCGCATTTTGAAGGGAGTGGTCGAGGCATTTTGAACACAGGTACATTCTTCACATTGTCATGAGTGATCTTCGCCAGATAGTCCATGCACTATACTCTTCACTAGCATGCGTGATCAGGGATTCGGGCCAATGTTGAACGAGAGGCGGAGTGAATGCTGCGATCGGAACCCTGATGCATGAAGCGACGAGGCTGGCCGGAGTGGAATGCGGGGAACCTCCCCTCGAATCCGACGCAAGGCTGTCAGCCGAAAAAGAACCGATGAGCGAAAGCCTGAACTTTGCAAGTCACGCAAAACATGTCAGCCTACTGAGAATGGTATAGGAGGATTTTCTAGGACACATGCAGGGTTCAGGGCGTTGATGGCGTCCGGCTATGTCCTCCATTGCCCTCCAGCTCCACGCGCAAGAAATCTCCATCCTTTACCAGCAATGCCACCGGAATAAGTAACCTAGTAGTGCCAAGAATATAGCTCCTCGTGGTTTTCATGGATTGATAGCAGTGGTAATACATGGAGAACGCTCACAACGATTGACTTTCCAGTTCCTTCTCCAGGGCATCCGCCATCTCCCCGAGGGTATAGAACTTCCAATCATAAACCTCATCTCCCTTATCACCAGTTCTTGCCCCCTGCCTTGCAATCCAACTCGATTTGACCCCAAACGGCTTGATCGCATGATGGTCATGATGTTGGCTCTGTGCTGTGTGAAGAATACAGTTCTTCTCGATGTCAAAATGCTCTTTCACGTACTTGAATAGATATTCAAAGTTCCGAGGGTCCGGTTTGTACGACCCAATATCTTCCGCAGTGAGAATCGCGTCGAAGGCGAACTTCTCCAGAGGCCCTTCATTTGTGTAGGCAAAGGATTCGTTGTCGACATTCGACAAGACCACGAGTTTGTAGTGTTTCGATAGCCGCTGCAACGCATCTACTGTATCAGGGAATGCAGGCCACATTCCGATTCTTTGGCTGAATGCCTGAGACTCTTCTGCAGTTGGTGGCACACATTCTAGCTTCTGGCAGATATGCGGGTGAATGGTGTTGAGTAGTTCCGAGTATTTCATATCGGGAGTTTTCTTCATCTGCTCGTTTTCGCATCCGTGAACAACGGCTAGGACATCATTCCGGCATGTTTGGTTGTTCTTGAGAAGGATCGGACGGAGCGAGTCGAGGATGCCGGTTTCCCAGTCAATGAGGGTGCCGTAGACGTCGAAGGATAAAAGACGGAAATCGTTCAATTTAGACATGACTATGAAAACTAGCTGGAGCTGCTCGGTGACAATAGAGAAAAGTTGTGAATTCATAAGTTTGGTTGGGGCGCCCAACGATGACGTAACCCTTGATCCTTCACGCCCTGCATGTCAACCTTCAATCAACGCGGTGATGAGACTCAGAAACGCCATACACGCTCTGGCTATTGAGGGGTGGATGCATGATACAGGCCACGTGTTGGATCAACGACCTGAGACTTATACCGGAGTAAATCAGATATGAAGAATTTAAGAAAGGAATAGGGGAAAATGTTAGGTGAAGAATGCGGAAGCGGAAGCGCGACTTCTGTATGGCATTCAAACTGGCGGTGGAAAGCGAGGCAAAAGGGGCAAGGTGGGGTTTACCAATTGGATCCGTCCACCAATCTCACCGTCACATTTCACCGTCACATTTCATTTCATAGATCGCAGGCTTTACCTACTAAGATCTGGTTATTTAGGTCGCACAAATTCTCGCACATTCTCGTCCTTGGCCTCTTAACTCACACTCGTGACCATATCTCAAGCCTCACGACATTTCGTTCGTTACTGCGAATAAGACCGGCCAACGGCTTTCATCTGCTAGGTCCTTCATGAAGGGCCAAATCGTCTTAACTCCAAACTTACCGAGTGCGCCATATAGTTGGTCAGGCTGATCCTGCTTGGTGCGACTATATGAATGCAGATTAGAGAGGGAAAGGCGTTGCGCAATGAAGTCCCGAAGACTGGAAGATGAGCGGCAAGTCGTGGTATCCCGCAAACAAAAGCAACAGCACCAATGCCGGGTGGCTGCGCAAAACAGTTAACCTGGATGTTGCTATCCAGTCTCTTTCGTCTCGCTGTATTTCCGAACACCCCCATGTCGTCAGTGCAAATCGATCAGTCCAGCCAAGGGACCCAACTCCTGCGCCAGGTTCCCTGGAGCGTTATCCAACTGCCTGAAACATTTGAGGCTGTACTGACGTCACTCGACTGTTGTGTGGGCCTTGGAGGGGTCCTCGTCTTTCGCAGAGAGGAGACGGAGCTTAGCGCATTTGTGCCGGAGTTGACTGAGCCCGCTGCCCGTGATCTCGGGTATCTGCTTAGATTCATGGAGAGATTTATATTTCCACTACCTATAGCCATTAAGAAAGCTCAGTATATCTTTCCAGTTCAGGCTAGAGAGTGCGATAGAATATCGTTATGCTTCGAAGAGGCGCTCTCAGGAAGGATATAGAGCTGCTATGAAAGAGTTTCTTTCCTAAACAGGCAGAGTCTTTCATCTGGAGATCTCCCTGTCGTTGTGAGGCTGCTGAAATAGTGAGCCTTGGTCGCCCTTGAAAATTTTGGTTGAGGATATGAGGGCAGAGAGTCGAAGCTGGAGCAGTGGAGCTATCATAAATAGATTAAAGCTTGGGCCACCGGCCAAACCTCGGATCTATCTGATCCTCAAAGTTTCAGAGGGCCCTGCCTGCCTGCCTAAACCCTTCAAAGTTGGCCTCAGTGAGCAACGCAAGATGCTTTGCGATATCTGCCGTGATGGCCTCGAAGGTATGTGGGATGCCGCAAGAACGCCCCGCTTGGCTCTTTGCGATGACTGGCACGAAAGCGTCAATGATGAAGACGATGAAATCGAAAATGAAAACGAAAAGCCCCGTGGGTGAATCCGAACACCTTCTTACCACCGTCTTCTGACCGCCGCGGGATAGTTCCAATAGATGACGATCAGGTCGAAGTCGAGAAATATATCTATGCACATCACCCAACAAAGGAGTCTTTCCTTCAGTCCATGCGGCAAGGATGCGTTATGTGCAACCGCTTCGATCCGAATCAGCACCACGAACCAAGTCCTAAATTTGAGGGCTTAGGTTACTTTTCGGTCTTTTACGTGTGTCTGAGTGGACAGAAGAAACCGGTCATGTGTGTTGAATATGGGGGATCCTCAGGTGGATTCGACCTCGTGCCTGTCGGGGATCCCAGATATGATTCAAACATGACTATGGAACTAGGACCTTCGACAGATGACCCGAAGACCTGGGATATGATTAATAGTTGGCTCGGTGACTGTTTGGAAAACCACACCAATTGCCCGGGTTCGGTTTCTCTTGTGAAATACCTTCCTACTCGTCTGCTAAGTATCGACGACGCCGGGGACAACAAAACCTTCCGTTTGGTCTTAGGCTCAGAGTGCCCACCAAACTCCCAATATATGACTCTTTCTCATTGTTGGGGTACGAAACCAGCTGAGTTGAGATTACGATTGCTCAAGTCTACATTAGAGCAGCTAAGAGCTGAGCAGTCCATTGATGCTCTACCCAAGACGTTCGAGGATGCAATGACTATTGCGAAACGGTTTGGAATCAAATACCTCTGGATCGACTGCCTCTGTATCTACCAGGACTCTCCCGAGGACTGGCTAGCAGAGGCCTCAACTATGCAAGACGTTTATAAGAATTCATTCCTCAACATCTCGGCGCTTGGCGCCGCGGACGACGAAGGGGGTTGTTTTGTCAAACGAGATCCGAAGGGTGTTTCCCCAACGGTCGTGCATTTGAAACGGAGAGATAACGAAGAACCTGAGCCATTCCGCTTCGAGCTGGAGAAGGGTTGGGCCTGGCGTTTGACTTTCCAATCTGAACCAATCGTCACACGAGCGTGGGTAGTCCAAGAGCGGCTATTATCTCCTCGCGTCCTACACTTTGGCCGTAAGCAAGTCTTCTGGGAATGCCGGCAGCTGAACGCTTGCGAAATACATCCTGAAACTGTGCATTGTTATGGAGATGACGAAGACAAAGAGTTTACCCTTCCACAAGAGAAGCACGCTCATCCCTGGAAACAACTGCTAGGTGGACCTGATCGAAGACATGTTGACGATCCGTATGAGCAACTTTTCGCGGACTGGAATGCTATTATATATATATATACCGAGAGCAATCTCACAGTACCCTCCGACAAACTGATTGCTCTATCTGGTGTTGCGAACGATATGAAGTGCGCGCTTGATAAACTTCGGACCGGCCCGCATAGATATCTTGCTGGCCTTTGGGAAGAAAGACTAAGGGAGGATCTACTTTGGAATGCCGACAGCGGAGGCAAGCGTCTGGAGAAGTATCGGGCGCCAAGTTGGTCTTGGGCAGCTATAGATGGGAAAGTACGGACGTCTTTGATATTTGCGCCCGAAGACTGTTGCGTCTGGTTTGTCGACGATGTGTCCGGGGAGACAGAGCCAATTGGAGAGGCCGACACTGGCGAAGTGAAAGGCGGGAAAGTCACGGTGACCGGGCCGTGGATGCAGCTGGAGATAGGAGAGGCCTACCAATCTTATCACCACAACATAGTGGCTATAGAGGATTTTGTCCATCCTGACACAGGTGAGAAGTTTCAAGATGAACCTGACAAGCTATCCACGGGGCAAAGATTGCCTCCCGCGAACGTTTACTTCGACACGCTAGAAGAGATGCCGCGTGAAGCATTTTGCATGACTTTCCGGGCACAGCTGTGGGCTGAAGAAGCCTACTCGTATTCGTCTCTGGTTCTAGTCAGAGCTGAGGGAGTGGAAGACGGAATGTATCGACGCGTTGGATATTCCTCGAGCACTATTGCAAGTCGTGCGAAAGCGGTAGAGTTCGTTTCGAAATTTCCACGCAAGACTGTCACAATCATCTAACGTGACAACCCATTTCCATTTCCGGCAATTTTGAGGTCACTGCTCATCCATTCTTTCTCCGCTATGGTGATGAGTTTATTGATGTCCTTCGCCATACCGAGCGAATTCTCTCACAACGAACCTTCACCATCTACGCCCACTTTTTCCTCGTCGTGCTCCACCTCCTAACAACAACGCGTCGTGTTTACCCGTGGTAGATGCACCCTCTCCGTTGCGTCTTACACTACATTCACTTTCGCTGCCCTTTCCATTTTCACGTATCTCTCAACGGCATTCACCTTCGTTCGACCCCCTTCTGTAGCTTAGCGCGTCGAAAGCACTATGAAGATTGCCGTCCTGTTTTAAGTAACGCTTGCGATCACTGCGGCTACCAGCACGCCTCCCCTCAACGACTTCTGAGGACATGGCACAGCCTTTCGCGACTTGATCGCGGCCAATTTGACTCCACGAAAGCCGATTCGGGCTAAGCCTACGCTGTCTAAGCACCCGGAAACCCGCACAAGATTTGGCCACCGGATGCCCGGAACAAGATCGATCACATCACATACTGTTTTCTAAACTCCTAGGACCAACCCATATGCGAGCCTCTTCTCTCCCAAGCTTAGAGGCTCCGCTGCGACACAATCGGTTACCCGGGTGCTAGGAGCGGTCGTAATATTTAACTTGAGAAATATGTTTTCCCAGATAGTGCACGTCTTTACCCTTGCGCACAAAACGCGTACCCTCACCATATTTGACTTTGGGTCGAAATCTTTCCAGGACATGCAGCACATGTCTAAGGGCTTTGCCACAAGCACCAGTGGAATGATTATGAGAAGCCCTTCGCTAATCACTATGCGTATGGGTTCATGCTGGTGATATTCCAGATGACGATTCCAGCAAATTTCAACCTGAGAATCCGAGTCGTTACGTAGAGCCGACTCTACGGACATTTCATGGCTACGTATTACTCTATTGGGCCGTACAGGATAAAGGCGAGGATGGGGAATGCACGTACTGGAACTCGAACTAAGGATGTTCCGGCTATGACCGTTTATCCGCAATACACTACCCTTCATCCCGCAGGATGGATCCGCGAACATGTCCTTGAAACGTCAAGGAATTGACCGTTGCTAGTTGGAAAGAGGAGCGTAATATGCTACCTTATAATGTGGATGAGAAGAGCGTAAGTTACGTCTTCCATTGTCCACCGGTTTCTTAGCAGGATGCACTCGCATCAATGAACCCTACGAACAAGATACTGCATCTGTATCCTAAGGTGTAGACGATTCTACTACCGTCCGTAACACGGCCCCAAGTATGCTGAATTGGGTGAGTTTTGCTTGTCCCTCACACATTGATATTCCGTGTCCTCACTACTAATCTGGAAAGGTTCCACGGCTTATTCCATGGTCTGCTCGATCTGCAGGGACTCATGTCTGTTATGATCACCACATATGCACATGCACGAATATGGTCGAGCGTCAGGTCGATTTTAGAACTGTGTGTATATCAGACTGTGGTTTTTTTGGGCAGCACATTGCTCTATCTCTTCCTCTGTGCTTATATCTAACTTATACAGATAATCCTATCTAGATTGGCAAATGCTTTTGGTGGCTGACATATCAGGGATAACCCAAATAGGATTTCGGAGTCACGGTATTTCGTGTCAAAGATGCGTTGAAACTTTTCTCTTCCTATTGTTCTAAACATAGTTGTATTGATAAACTCATATAGACCCCATCTGAAATGTCTATAGAGACTCTCAATTGCCATTTTCGACTAACAAAATAGGTATGGCATTTGAGAATTTTAGAAGACAATGTATAAGCTGATAACACAAACATCAACACTACATTGACGTCCGTGCAAGTGAAACACCATTAGCAGACACAGTCGTTTTCGTATATATCTGCCCAGAAGTACCCTGGATCTCAAACGTACCCGCACCTGTCGACCCAACGACATTGCCACTTTTCAGCTTTGCACTGCAACCAGTGAACGCAATCGTTCCAAATTTGGGGACATTCACCAACTCTCCATTCGCTTGATACGCTTGCACGAACCAATCAGCAGTAAGCGCTGTAAGTCGAGATGGGTCGATGTTAGCTGGGGCCTTGAGCGATTGCGTTGATTTCTTCTTCTGGGTCGTGTTTTCGACAACGACGGTGCCGGAGCTGTCAGAATCAAGACTGACGGTGACAGTGATGGAGTCGCTGGCTTTTGCAGGCGCTGCACTGGTGGTATCGGTCGCATTTTCCGGAAACCATGCCGCGAAGGAACTGTAGGTCTTGTCGAAGATGACGCCACCTTTGAGAACAATATCTTGCTTTATGGAATCCCCAATTGCAACCCAGAAGGATAGTTTCGCGGTCCCTACCAAGGATGGAACCGTGAAAGTGCCGGTGACAGATGTGAAAGAGTCACCATCTGGGGCTTTGAGAACGGCTCCGCCTCGGTTTTGGTCGTAGGCGGCTAGTGCGGTGGTGAGAAAACATGCGCTTCCAAGAAGGGACGGAGGTTTCATGACGTGCAGAGAGCAATGTGTAGCTTAGTAGTGAGGAAAGAAGCCAACAAATTTGGAAGTTAACTAACACACTTGACTACTAGGAATCTAAAGACGATGTAGAGAATGGGCGGTACCAGGTTCTCAGCACCCTCCCACGCTGGATTTATAACAATTTGTTGGGGCGGTTGCATCTCAACTCAAGAAGATGAGCAAATTTTGTTCCTCCGAGTACGTCTCAAACGCAAAAGCAATCACAGTGTATTCGAATGTCGTATCAACCCCTGCCCCATCTATCCTTCGCCGCTTTCTGATAAGATCGAGTCGGCAGGGGCATAGGGTCTGTGCCTGGCAGCGTTCGCGTTTTGGCAATATTCACGACCATCTAATTCGCTCGCACAAAATTCCCCGGTTCTCGGCCACTTCACCACATCAAGATAAACAGTTTGGTGTAACATCCCCCACGGCATGCCCAGTTCTTGAGGCTCAGCATCCGCTCACCCCCATCTATCAGGTGGCGGATAGGTATTGATGGAAGATTGCGGCAATAATCTGCTTGCATAACGTTATCTTAAAGAGCCCCAGGTGCTATCATGATACTCGAATCCGGCTTCAAGAAACACGCCAAGACATGCGATAATACATTGCTACGGAGGAAGACGCCGAATGGGCATCTAGCTCTATTTAACATTGGCACAAGCCCGGGAGGACAAATTCCGCGATTAGGACTAGAAATAAGATTCATTCTATGATTCGCTACGATATCATTTCTAGAAATTGCACCTTGGAAGACCCCGGTGATCGTGTAGTGAATCCAAGGTCAGCAGCCAAGCAAACCGGGGCGAGATGGCAAAACTTTATCTACACAGATACAGTTAGCACGAAACACCCTAAATTTTGTTCAGATCCCTCACTAGTCGGGCATGATTGCAGTTCTTGTCCCGTGATTCTGTTCTGCTGAACTCTTATAATACCCTCAGCGTCTTCGAGTACCCTTACCTCCTTCATCACCCTTGTCGCTGTTCCTGCTCTGAGTACAACGCCGACTCATCAAGATGAAGTGGACTCTCTTTGCATCTGTTGTGCTCCTTGCGTCCGCCCATGTGCTTGCGCTTCTTCGATTCCCCTGCGCTCAGCTCGTCTTAGATCGCCTCGATCCATTGGTCAACCCTGGAGCTATCCCTTCTCCTCACCTGCACCAGATTGTAGGAGGGGTAAGCCAACCCAGACCAGCTGTCAAGCATGAACTGACAAAGTAAAAGAACTCCTTTAATGCGACCATGGACCCGAAAAAAGACATGCCTAAGGAGTCTACATGCACCACTTGTCAATTCAGCGAGGATTTCTCCAACTACTGGACTGCTATATTGTTCGTGAATTATGGCTCCATCATATTTTTCGCTGATTTGGCTCTAATTCAATTGTAGATACTTCAAAGCTAAGAATGGAACCTACAAGCGAGTCCCACAGATCCCAAACAGCGGCTTTGACGGAGTCAACGGCGGGATGACGGTCTACTACATGCAAGATGGGCTTTACGATTTTGCACAGAAATCGAAAGTCACAGCGTTTCAACCGGTCAGTCCGAGTCCGAGTAGTTGGGTGCAGCAATATCAGCGACTGACTTATCAGGGATTCCGCATGTACATTGGTGATGTCAACGCCAGATCTCGCAAGGATGTGGAAAGGTTCCGACAGCTCACCTATACTTGCCTGGATACGATCAATACTCGTGATCCCCAAACACTGGATTTCCCGGCGAAGCCGTGCAAGACCGGAATCATGACTGCCCTTCGATTCCCAACGTGAGTGATGTTGACTTTCCTAAACTCTCGGACTTGATAACAAGTGTTTTCGTCTAGGTGCTGGGATGGCAAGAATCTTGATTCGCCCGATCATATGGCCCATATGTCCTATCCCGAGAGCGGATCCTTCGAGACTGGGGGTCCCTGTCCAGCGACTCATCCCGTCAGGATGGGCCAACTTTTCTACGAAGTCATCTGGGACACTAGCAAGTTCAATAACAAGGACGATTGGCCTGCCGATGGCTCCCAACCCTTCGTCTGGAGCTTTGGTGATAGGTAAGAAAAATACTCTCCCGCTCTTTTCGTCAAATTTGATCGTTAAAGCGGAACAACGATTTAACATGACTTTAGCACCGGCTACGCTAACCATGGCGATTACCTCTTCGGATGGCAAGGCGATGCACTCCAGCGAGCTTTAGACAACCCATGCTACCAGACTTGCACAACACTAAAGTCACAGAACAACGCCGCGATGAACAAGTGTGCTGGAAAGCGAGTCGTAAATGAAGATATTGATGGTTGTAAGTGTTGAAGCAGTGTTAACATCCAAGGGTAGATCCTAAACTAATGTTTGCAATAGGGATTAAGGAACTACCTGGCGGGTACCAGGCAAACTATCGCAAGTAGTTGGCTGATGGGATTCCTTCCAGCGATAGTTATTCCTTCAAAGTTGAGGTAGACTTCACTCGTATCAATCCTGTTTATCAGGTAGGGCTATTTGATGTGTCACATAGCGTGGCTGTTTCTCTGGATCTTTGCTCGCAACACCAGGGAGATTGCCTTCTTGAATACCAGTTTCAGATACGTGACTAAGCTCATATTTACCTCCTTGATCCTTCTTTCCGCATAGCCTAGAATCAACGTACGTTCCAGTTGCCGAGTTAAGACCTCGCTTTCACAATATTCGACTGATATTTCCAAGTGCTAAGATTGTCCCTCCATATCGTGCTGAGGCGTTGTTAACAAATACCATCAAGCTGCCGTTCTTAGGCGCGCTCTACACCAAGTCCGCGTTAAAGAGGAAGATTCTTAGGTAAGTGCTGGCGGTTGCTAAAGGCTAGCCTATAGTAGTCTCTGTACTTCTAACGTGAAGTAGTTAGCAAGGATGCTGTCACGGTTAACTTGGACATGCTCTCTGATCCACAGTGCTCTCACAGATGCATGCCCGCTAATCTGTGCAAAAGCCCTGCACCCACTAGACAGCAGCTGAGAACGGTGACATCGAATTGGTACAGGTTCTTCTTGTTGCCGGTGCAGATGTAAAAGCCTTTCCAGGGAACTGGTTTAGAAGAATTACCATCTGAGGTGGAGCTAAAGAAGGGGACATTAAACTAGTTTAGGCTCTTCTTGCTGCTAGTGTAGAACCCTACTTATTGGCGATTTGAATTCTTAGTACTCATCTCTTCTAATTCATTCCCGGGGAAGTCTAGAGTGATTTGCACGATAAGAGCGGTGGCAGACGGAGCGCAAGATACGCTAGAGAAGGAGCGGGCTAGGATGATACTGTCTATATCTTCTCAATTACCGAACTTTAGGCTAACTACTATTGGTCTATCACAATATATTCAAGGTTATACAGGCAAAATCACGCTAAGCAAGAAGGCGACCAATACTCGTGTGTGACCTGTTTGTGGTTGTTAGGGTCAATTTCTTTGTGGAATCCCACTTTGATTTAATTATTCTAACTTCACTAGTGTCGACAAACTCATCAGAACTAACGAGCTCATGGGGTGAACACACTGTTGGAAACCACATGGCTGAGAGAGACTGGCAAATTCGCAGCTAGCATCATGGTTTGGCCTATGGAAGGCACCCCGCTGCGAGGCTGAATCTGGGTGAAGCTGGGTGAGTAGGCGTCAAGCTAGTTATGGATGATTTATGAACCGGCGTGTTAACCCACCATTTCCAACACTTACCCACTCTTAACAACGATAAACAAAGCATCTTGGATGCCATTGCGGTCACTGTCATCAACGATTTCAATGCAGTTGCCTACGGGATTTGACGGCTGGAGAGCTGCCAGAGTAGGAGTAGCATTTGTCACTACTTCAATCAGGTTGGGTGTTTGCCTTGCCCTAACCTTCCCCACTCTACCTCACTTTGTTCGTCTGACCGGATCGCCTAAGGTTAAGAATCCAAATTTTCGCGTTCATAAAGCTCCCTTAAGCTATTTCATATTAACCGGGGGGTTGGATGCGGCATCTAGTAACTAGCTGTCAGTCCTCTTCCAGTCTAAGGATCTTAATCTCCCTAAGACTCTGGTTAAGGATGGGGGTTTTAACGTCATAAGTCGAGCCTTGGAAAGGATCAAGAGCGGATAGCTATCAGGCAAAACGTCTAGTTTTTTGCTTGGCATAAGGTACTTGATCTAATTATTTTACTTCCATGGCCATACTCCATACCCTACTCGTTGACCTAAATTTCATCTCTTTAATGTATGCATCTTTACAGTATTTTAAGAGCAGAGGGATTCGAGAAAGGGTGTATCCAAGCACGTGATCTGACGATGTCTCCTCCGAGATCCAACATCAAAAAATTAGTCTAATTTTCTGAACCATTAAGCGAGATATTCGTTAATTATCGCCTCCTATCCCAGCAAAATTCCCCACCTGTTTCGTTCTGTATCAAGATTTAGATTCTTTGTCCCGCACCTCATGTTCCTCGCACGCAATGCTTCTTTAAAGTACCCTCATCTCGCGAAGCTGGCATGTGGCTATCATGGCCCATTGCCTATCAATCATTAATCGGTCGTACTTCGAGTGTCGAGCCCAGCGCAAGCTGTATATAGACTCATGAATTTGCTTTGCTTGAAACTCTATCTCAAATTACCCGGCAATTGTAGAATCTCTGAACACGTAAGACTTTCCCCCAGCAGCAAGACCAGCCAAAATGGCATACATAAATGGCGCTTCTCAAGCATATCCACATGAACTGAACGCAGACCCCAATGGAGTTCTTTGCGTACGCTCTCCACTCCTCCCGGCACCTTTTCTAGTCGCTATGCGATGTACCCACCCTACCCCATTCTACTCTATCTTCAACCTTCCATTCCTCAAATTATTACTAATAAAAATCAAGCTACTGGGTCCCCAATATGAGCGGCAGTCTCGTCATCTCCAGAATCCCACAAAAAATCTCTGGAGACCTACCCTCCAATATCCGTTACCACCGCACCACCGAGACCCATGGCTTCGGATACGTTCTCGCTCAAACTCGCTTCATTACTCCCTACGAAGCTGCCTTCCCAAACGAGTCCATGTCCTCTGGTCAAGCCTTACTGTACCACATCGGAAAGCTGAAAGTTATTGTTGCAATCTTCCCAGGGCCCTCGAATCCTACTATTGTTGCGAAACAGATCGCTGGTATCGATAACTACACGAATGGACGCATTCCTTTGACCTTTGTAGGTGGGTGATTCAAGGGAGAATTTACATCTATTGGGTAGTCGTGCTTGGGCACAGCAAACGGTACCTTTGGTGGGGACTTCTATCAATTTAGGAACTATCCTTTGAGTAAAGGCGATTTTGCAATGCACCAACGGAAGGAACGAACAACTTGGTGACGCTAGCAGGGAGGACGGCCGACCCTCTCTAGCTAGGAGCTTGTGAGTTAGCGAATATAGAAAAGATCAGTTAGTTGTTGGGGAGGCGGAGAGGTGGGCACAGCCGCATTTATGTCAGCCAGTGGGGTGCATAACGCCACAATTGTACACGTGATTTCATGTGTAATTCTACCCAGGGTAAGCAATAGGGAGTAGTTGTATCTACCCGGAGGTAGCTCAATAGAGGTAACATTTTCGCTCATGTGGAGCAGGGGGTCTTAACGAGTTAAAGCCGAGTGCCCTGCACACCCGGAAGCCGAACCTTCATGAGGCTGTACTTTATGAATGGGAACTATATCGGTGGATTCCGAGAATAGACTACAGACATTAAAGAGAGAACGAAGAAGTTCCGTCGCGAGAACGAGGTTAGGTTTGTGGTGAATGCGTTCGTAATTGTGCGCGACTCCAAAGAAGAAGCGAATCGCTTCCTCCAGGAAATTCAAGGAAAAGCGGACGAAGAAGCCACTGATGCATTTAGAGATGCAGTGCACCAAGCAGGTGCCAATACTGCGAATAAGAAAGGTATGTGGGTGAACTTGAAATTTGAGGATCACGTTTAATACAATGATAGATTCAAGACGACGTTGAAAAGGACAAAAGATCAAATTGCAGAAAGAATCTCGTTGTTGAAGAGGCTAGGCGTGAGCCTCATTTTGACGCTGTTCTTGCATTATGACAGGAGATTGAGAGGTTCAGGAAGGATGTTCTTCCATTATTGAGGAAGCTGGAATCGGAAAGAAGGGGAAAGATTGTAGACCGTGAAATTAAGCGAACAGGGGAGGTTTATAAGAAGACGTAAGCGCCATATAATTGCCTGGTTGGTGGTGAGAGATTGGGTCTACCTGAGGAGAAAACCCTAGCTATATTACTAGGGATGCAAAGGACAACGAGTGTCTCGTCGGATTCGCATTCGTTCGGCTATTTTTCTAACCCCGATGTTTGGACTTATTTTAACTGCGGCAATATGAAGTACTTCCGACAAATGCCCGCACAGCTCAAATTGTCTTTTTGACGTCATCTCCGAGGCTCTACCCTGGATCATATCTGGCTTGTTGAAATTGCACTGAGAAGTTTTGTTGTACGATATCACACTCTTTTGCACGGCATTTACCGTCTACGTAACCCTCGTCCGACGCGCGTCAAGAACCTCGAAGAGCGAAGGGTAAAAGCCCATTCAAAAACTTCGATCTAGCTTTGTCGAATGGATGCCCATCTCGAGCCAAACGCTTTAGTTTCCTGGCCAAAGGTTTTCCAAGATGCGAATCCTTTTTCCATTATCGACAATCATCACTTCTGTGTCCGCCCTTAGTCTAACTGAGCTCTGCACGAAGTCAAATGCCCAGTCTGCACTTCCCGTCGCCGGATTCTACAATGGAATTACTGTCGATTCATCCTCGGTCGTTGCGACTATAGGCACAAATTACTCCATTCGCAGCAACACATTTTTCCCCGACGCAACCATCAATTATTGCAATATCTCGTTTGCTTATACGCACAATGGACGAGGGGACCTAGTTCATGTTGCCTACTGGGTTCCAGAACCCTCTAAATTCCGGAGTCGATTCCTAGCTACTGGAGGTGGCGGGCTTGCGATCAACTCCGGCGCTTCCACCGTGTCTGGAGGAGTGAGTATAGGCGCAGTTAGTGGATATACGGATGGAGGTTTTGGTAATTTCAATACCAATGCTGATGCCATCTTCCTCCTTGCCAACGGGACCGTCAATTGGGAGAGTGCTTACATGTTCGGCTACCAGGCCATACATGAGATGACTGTGCTTGGAAAGGAACTCGCCCGGAATCTTTTCGGGATCAAGAACGGGACGAAGCTTTATGCGTATTATCAGGGTTGCTCGGAAGGAGGACGAGAAGGATGGAGCCAGGTTCAACGTTATTCCAATGAATTGGATGGTGCGTCAATTGGCGCTCCTGCTTTCCGGTATTCTCATCAGCAGATCCAGCATCTGTACTCCAATGTGGTCGAGAAGACTCTGGACTATTATCCACCGCCCTGCGAAATGATGGCAATTGTAAATGCCACCATTAAGGCTTGTGACCCGTTGGACGGGAAGAGAGATGGCGTTGTTGCCCGAACGGACCTTTGCAAACTCCATTTCAACATCAACAGTACCATTGGATTGCCGTATTCATGCGCGGCCTTTTCCGGTGGTCGCGGTTTCGGACCAGGGAGTGGCAGCCCAACTCCAGCCCAAAATGGTACTATCTCAGCGAAAGCCGTTGCCGTAGCGCAGACTATTCTCAATGGAATCCACGACCTCCACGGTCGCCAGGTTTACTTTTCATACCAACCCAGCGCAACTTTCGCTGATGCACAAACGAGCTACAACAACGCTACTGGTCAGTGGGAGCTCAGTATCAGTGGCCTAGGAGCAGAATTTGTGACGCGGTACATTGATCTAGTGAACTCCTCCACACTTCCCAACCTCAACGGAGTCACATACGACACCCTGAAAGAGTGGATCTATCACCTATGGCAAACTTACGACGACAGTTTCCAGGTGAATTGGCCTGACCTGACGCGCTTTGAAGAAGCTGGTGGAAAGGTCATCCACTACCATGGTGAATCTGACGACTCAATTCCTGCTGCCAGTAGTGTACGGTACTGGGAGTCTGTCCGCTCCGTCATGTACCCTGGTCTTAGCTATAACGACTCTGCCACCAAGATCCAAGATTTCTACCGACTTTTCCTTGTCCCAGGCGGAGCCCACTGTGGCGCGAATCAGTACCAACCCAACGGCGCATGGCCGCAGAATAGCCTAACGCAATTAATTGATTGGGTGGAGAAGGGTATCGAACCGAACTTGCTGAATGGGACAGTATCTATGGGCGCACAGAAGGGAGAGAACCAGAAAATTTGCCTGTGGCCTCTACGGCCGTACTATGGTGGTAGTAATGGGACAGAGCTAGAATGTGTGTATGATCAAGTGAGTCTTGACACATGGCATTACAACCTTGACGCTTGGAAGATGCCTGTTTGGTAGACAAAGAGGTGCACAGGAGGGAATTTCAGGCAGATCACGTGGAGTTTTAATCGATAGGAAGAGGATATAGGTTCAATTTGCCTCGCGTTACAAGTAAGCGCCAAAGCTACATCATCCCTAGGCTAGTATTTTACTATTGAGAATTACTATATACCGAAACAAGCAGTCATACGTTATTGATTCTCATTAATTTTGAACAATGTAAGGCCATTCTGTTAAAACGTATGCCTCGTTTTGCATTAGCAACGGAACGAGATAAATTCTAAAGCAAAGTATCTAGACGCATAAAAAATTCGACTTTCTTAGTTTGGCTCTAGCAAGGAAAAGTGTCCCTACAAATGCGAACTGTGACCACGCGTGTAGGACAAGTATATAAGGCAAGTCTCATGAAAACGGACAACATTCGCCGCACAATACATGTCGTTCTTGGCAATTTTGAGTGCCGCTCTGAGATGCGAACCCTAGCGTTAGAAATATCTGAACCACGAAGGGAACCTGAACAGGCTCATATCCCGAAATTGAACGATATAATTGAACGATGAGCGAAAAGTGTCCGCTCAGATGCTCATACTAGTAGAGTTCGGAATACAGATATTTCCGCTTATACTATGCGCGTGGATGAATAAGAGTTTAATAGATTCGCAGGGTCTGAACAATAGCGAAGAAGAATGGAAACGGATACTAAGAATCCTTTTGGTGGCCCAGGATATGGATTTCAAACTATTGAGCTCTTCACTGCAAAAGGAGAAACAGGACATCAAGGATTGGGCTCAGGTTTAGGGTCGTCTTTCGAGGTTTTGGGAGGAGAATAGCTGAACTTAACCCTGAATGCTATCTAACTAGTAGTCTACTGAGTTAAGTGGGTGGAGATACATAGCAGAGCTTAACACAAAGAATTTGTGAAGCTTTTGGGAGCAGGAAGGCCATAAGGGACTGAGTTGATTGCTTAAAGAGTGCACATTTAGAAGCACTGCACTCTCTAAATATTTCAAGAATGACTTCGTCATGCTCATCTCATTCTCCTCATAGCAATAATTTGCGTTTGGGCCGTACAATCCATCGGTAACCCATGTTACTCCCGCCAAATGGCACCCAGATGCCGCGACCGCGTTCCATCTCGCGCATAGGGATAGATAGTCTCCATAGAATCTGCATTTGACATTCCAAGGTCGCTGCCGCTGTAATCAGTACAGCATTCTGAGGAAGATCTGTTTCGTTCCCAGAGCTATGTATTGTGTTTTATCGGAGGCCGGACAGGATATTGGAGATGGTGGAGAAAGGGTGGGCAGTAGCGGTGATCCTAGCATAGTTTGGCTGAGGCAGAAGACGCTGTAGCGAGGCCGGTGGTCTGAATTAGGGCGATTCTGCACAATTCTGCACACTTGGCGAAGAGTGATCATCCCGGACCTGTGCGGGTGATTCTTGTTGCCTTCTTGGTTTTTGCCAGCAATCTCCCAATCACCCCACCCGGCAATATCATTGGAAGACTGTAACGTACTTCATGGGCGAGTTGCTCACACACCCGAGTTGCTCACTTTTGCCAAGACCCCACTAAACCACCCTTCCTACACTAATGCATTCCCCACAACACTACTTAGACGCGCTAAAAGAACGTTAGATATAGCTTACACTCTAAGCTTTTAAATAAGACATAAAACTCTTAAAAAAATATGCTGTAGCTATGTACAAAGTTTTATAAAAGATAATAAATAACTATAGCACTAGACAACTTTTATAAGCTAATTCTACAGCTAAATTATAAAGGCTAGGCAATAAAAAGGAGTAAGTGATTATTAAGACTATACTTAAGCTATATACGCAAGGAATTTCCCCTTAGATAGCATTTATAGCTAATATAGCTAATTCTTTGCGCGCTAAGCATAATCTAGGCTATGTTTACATAAACTAGCCTAGTATGTTTGTAAAGCGTTATTTAGAGCTTAAAGTAAAGTTTTAAGCGCAAGTATAGTTAAGAGATATCTAGCTAATTATAAACCCTATCTTGCTAAACTTGTACGTGTTATTATCCTAGATGCTATACTTAGCTTTAATATTCTCTATAAGGCTAAAGCTGCTCTAAATTACTTTAGGACTCTTACAGAGGGCTCTCTTATAGTTGTACTTACACTTAAATGTTACTTTAAGCTCTAAATAACGCTTCACAAACATACTAGGCCAGTTTATGCAAACATGGCCTAGATTACGCTTAGCGCGCAAAGAATTAGCTATATTAGCCACAAATGCTATCTAAGGGGAAATTCCTCACGCATATAGCTTAAGTATAGTCTTAATAATTACCTGCTTCTTTTTATTACCTAGCCTCTATAATTTAGCTATAGAATTAGCTTGTAAAGGTTATCTAGCGCTGTAGTTATTTATTGTCTTTTATAGGACTTTGCACATAGCTACAGCACATTTCTTTAAGAGTTTTATGTTTTATTTAAAAGCTTAGAGCGTAAGCTGTATCTAACATTCTTTTAGCGCGTCTAAGTAGTGTTGTGGGGAATGCATTAGTGTAGGAAGGGTGGTTTAGTGGGGTCTTGGCAAAAGTGAGCGACTCGGGTGTGTGAGCAACTCGCCCATGAAGTACGTTATTGATGATTGAGAGAATAAAGGTGGGTCTTCAGAGGTCTGTTATTCACTTTCTGGTTGCTACCAAAGGCAGAGAGTCTTGTCGTAGACTGTCGGTTGGTTCCTCAGCCATAAAGGGAACGCTTTGAGGTCCATGATTGAAGTAGGTGTATAACAACCTGCCGTGACATATGGTGGTATTTGAAGAAATGAGAGCGAGAAACAAAGTAGATGGTCAATAATTGAAAAAGCAAGCCGGTCAGGTTCAAGACAGATGGAGAAATAGGATTCAGAATTAAAAGATGAAACGGCTCAGTCAGTACTGACAAATCATCATAAATCACACGTGACTAAATGGTCCTGAGGAGACTTTCTACCAGTTCTAATATAGCCGTTCTTAATATTCTTACAGCCTTACTTTTTCTATCTCTTAATTGTAAGGCTATTACTGATGTGCAGACCTCCTGGGCTCTGGACTCCAATGATTCTAAATGTATCCTCATCCAAAACTTGCCAGAGGAATAAACATCGGATATTCACGGAAATATGTAACACAACCTAAGTGGCCGAGGATATACGCCCGTTGACATTCAACCTACGGACCCGCAACCCCACTTCTCCGCAATTCCAAGCAGCGCTACCGCTCTAGACCCGTACGCCACAAGCTTGATGAAACCCAAGATCTGGGGCACAGAAGACTAATACGTCAACCTGTGCAGCCCTTGCACATTTCATGAACGATGAATCTAACTAGCCCGTGGCGTCATAGTTGCTTGCACCAAACATTCAGATGCAAGTGAATTGATATCAGCAACCCAAATAACCAACGCAAGCCCCTCACTTCAGCCCTTCATATTCGAGCTCCCCAAATTGAATCCTGGTCTAGCATCCTTTCCCTTCTCATTTAACCCCCAAGCTGTCGAACTCGCATCATGCACCGTCGTCCTCCTCAAGTCCCTCCTAAACTTGCCCGCAAAGGTTCCACCACCCGCTCTATGTAAAACGCAGGTATTATCCCAAATAACTAAATCACTTGGATTCTCCCACGGAACACTGATCCTGTATTTCTCTTGCGTCGCATGGTCTAGTAACTGCTTTAACAAGGCATCGCTCTTTTCCTTGTCTACACCTTCGACATGGTGCGCGTGGGCAGCGATGTATAGGTTCATGCGGTTAGAGGGTTCGTGGAGTTGGGCAATCTTGTGGGCGTACATAGGTTGTGATTCGACGTCGAGGTCTTTGAAGAATTCTGGAGCTGCAGTTTTACGCGAATGCGCCATGCAATGTGCAGCTGCATAGTCATATTCCAAGAGTTCGGACTTGAGCTCTTCAGGTAGCTCGTCAAAAGCGGTGCGGGAGTCGGCGAAATCTGTGTTGCCGCCGTGGCCTGGAGGGGGCAGTTCGTAGGCGCGGAGGAGGGAAAAGGATGCTCGGCGTGGGTTGAAGGAGGAGTCCACATGGAAGAGACCATTTCCCTACCCGATGTGAGCATTGAAGCTATTTGGGCTAATTTCATAACGAGTGCTATAAAGCGAATAGATCGAGGCAAATATACCTTCTGGTATTGAGCTTTTGGCGAGCTGGGGTCGATAACGTTGCCATTTTCATCGACATTGCCCGCATCAAAGAGCTCATAGTGCTGATACCTCATCTTTCTCCCTCCGGTCATGTATGGCCTAATATCATCCAGGTCACCCAGTCGCCGAGAGAATTCAACATGTGCGGTATCATCCATCCCGGTATTGCGAAACACGCAAACACCGTACTGCAAAAGGTATTATCTTCCGAATGTAGCCGTTTGCTATGCGTACAACTTACCTTTGCCATTGCGGCTAGGACCTCTTTAAATTGCTCCTCGGATGGATTAGGGAAGTTCACTCCCTCGATCTCTGCTCCAAAGGTTGGGTGCAATTCCTTGACCGTAATGGTCTTGAAGGTGCTCTCTTGAACAAGACCAGGCATCGCGTTGTAGTGTATCGGAATATGTTGCTTAAAGTCGTATCCAAAGAGAGAATTCCGTCCAGATGGTTCATAGGTTGCTGCTAGGTTGATTCTCTCCCAGCGCTGGGACCAAGATGGGGTGACTAGCATATATGAAATCCACGACCCCGGCAATTAATCCTTCATATTTGCCGATGCCCTTCTCAAGAGATCATGCAGTCTCTCCAGCTCTGTAAATGCCCCGCTGCTTGGCAACCCCACGGCTCACTAACGGATTCTCTGCGGTCCAATCAACTTTTTCTGCTGACGCTGGAAATAAGCTATTTGACGCGCGATTCGATTTATCGCTATACATCCCTCAGAAGAAAATCGTATATCACAAAGGAACACGAAATAACTCCCGGGTCTTAGCGAATTATAGCCTTTGGAGAAAGAGACCCATGCAAGAAAGGATCAGCGAGATCACCACCCCGCATTGCTGGTAACACCCTGGTAGCCGCACCAGCAACTACCGATGGCCATTAAAACTCGGAAAATGTTTAAGACAGACGTGAACTCGCTCTGAAATTCTATGTCCTCATCGACTCCATCGACATGCCCTCCGATATCAAAGAAAACAATGTTCACGTCGAGAATCTGCCCCCGAAAGGGGAGCATATTGTTGACGAGTCGCGTCTCGATACCGACATTCACTTGAATGCGGCAATACAAGCGGAGGTCGACAAAGATGAGCAGCGTGTTAAAAAAATCATTCGCAGGGTTGATTTTCGGCTAGTGCCTATCCTAGGGTTGCTGTACATGTGGGCGCTGATTGATCGAGTCAACCTTCCTGTCGTAGGTCTTCCGTGATTGGGGATTTTGAGGGAGATTCGCTGACTAGAGATCAGATTCAAATAGCTGGAATGCGGAAGGAGCTCGGTACCGATCAAGGAAACCGATACACTTTAATAACAATGATCGTACGTTATAGAAGAAGCGCTGGGAATGAACCCGACTGAAAGACACAGTTCTTCGTCACGTACATCACTTTTGATTATCCGTCCAACATATTTCTGCGAAAGCTTGGGCCAGCAAAGTGGCTTGGTCTAATTGGCACGTTAGTCACACGCTCATCAGTCCTACTGAAAGATACTAATAGAAGTCAAAGTTGCTGGGGATGCCTTACTATCGCAATGGGATTCTGCCAATCCTGGAAGACGGTGCTCCGTATGTAAGCAAATTCTGGCGCAGCATTAACAAGACTGACGATTTCCATATAGTATGCAGAGCAATTTTTGGTGCATTTGAAGCTGGGATGGCCCCTGGTTGTGTCTACCGTTCGTATTTCGGAACCGTCAAGGAACAGACTCGCTGCTAATGGATAGCAGTACTCTCCTGTTGGTATACAAGATATGAAGTACAGAAGCGGTATATTCTCCCAATCCATTTGGAAGTCGGGCCATGGGTCGCTGAAGATGCGCAGATTTGCAGCGTGGGCGTGCATCGGGGTTTTCGGGTCGGGTCTCTCCAGTCTCCTTGCATACGGCATTACCACAATGGGCACTTATCGAGGCTTCCACGCGTGGAGATGGATATTCATAATTGTTCGTTAAGACGGCACCGCCGAGTTGTTTCAAGGCTAACGCAGGAACAGGAGGGGATTATTAGCGCGTCTATTGGCATCCTCGCAGCGATCATCTTGATCGATTTTCCCGACCGAGGTGGGGCATTCCAACTTCCGCTTTCTATCAATACTCATAAGACTTGCAGCGGCTCGTCCAGGGTTGTTCCTGAGAAAAGGGTTCCTCACTGCAGAGGAAGCTTCTATTGTTCTCGCAAGAGTTGAGCGAGATAGAGCGGACGCAGTCCCTGAGCAATTCACTGCTAGAAATATCCTTCGAGCGTTGAGTGATTGGAAAATGTGGCAATTTCCGTTCCTCCTCTTCTGCAATGTGAGTGCTGCACTTTCGGTGAACACAAGAGGAATGCTGACGTAGAAAGAATCTCACTGTCTATTCATTTTCTTATTTCCTTCCCATCATCCTTCAAGGTTCTATGCACTACTCGGCGAAAATGACATACATCCTAAATGTCCCGCCGTATGTTTTTGCGGCTTTTGTAAGTCAATCGCCTTGCTAGTGACCTCGTTTGGCTGATACACTTCAGTGGATGTTCGGGGCCGGCTACCTCAATGACAGGGTCAAAATGCGAGGACCGACACTTGTGATTCAAGCACTCATCATTATCATGGGCGCGAGTCTCATGGCTTTCGCCAAAAACCCCGGTGCCCGCTACTTCGGCGTCTTCGTCGCGGTTGGAGGAACGAATTCAAACATCCCAACTATTTATGGCTACCAGCACAACAACATTAGTAGGTACCATGTGATTTCATAGGGAGGTGACTGACAAGCGGGCAGCGGGTCAAACGAAGCGTGCTCTTGCGACAGCGATGCTTCTGATGGGTGGTGGATGTGGAGGCATCGTGGCCTCCTTTGTATTTCGTCAAAAGGACGCTCCCAACTACCTGTAAGCAGTGTTGAGCCTTACTATGTATTGAATGCCGCTAACACGTGTAGCCCCGGAATGATCACTGTCATTGTGTCCCAAGTGCTTACGGTTCTGCTGGTTTCGATGAATTTTGTCTACTTCTTGTATCGGAATCGGAAGGCTGATCGGGGAGAGGCAATACTGGAGAATACTCCAGGATTTCGTTATACATACTGATGGTGAGATGACATGGATACAGTTGAAGGCTGAGGAGCGGCAAAGCCACGGACCCGAAAGTGAAGAAACCGGCGAATGGAAATCTCCGCTTCACCGAGAGTGCTTATGTAATGACCTCCAATTGCACGCTCAAATCGCGGCAGGTCCACCATCGCTCCTACATCCCCAGTGTCTCACACCATCATCATGCTTACAATCAATGATGTCCCAAATGAACTGGTGCTCAACATCTTCGAGCACATACACGTAGCAGAGGAGCCCATTGCGACATTCAGATCGCTATGCCAAACATCTCGGAGGCTTCAAACGGCGGCAGAGCCCTTCCTCTACCATACGTACCGTCACCGAATTGGCCTTCGGCCCATCCATCATTTTGCAGGAACACTTGCCGATCGACCAAAACTAGCCAGACATGTTCGCAAGATTGATATTGAGCTTATGAAATCTGCCAGACGACGGCCTCCCAGTACGCCTGAACGTGAATCCACCAGAAAGCTCCGTCGCGCAGTTGAACGCTTCCGCCTTCCACCACCACGTGCCAATGCATGGAAAAGTCTGGTCTCTGAAGAGGACAATGATATTGCCTGCGCCGCTCTCATCATTTCGGTTACGCCAAAGATTGAAGAACTCTGGCTCTCTTATGACCAGGAATGGCCACTTTGGTGGTTAGAATTAATGGATGCTGCCTCAAATCCTTTGTTCGTAGCAATTTACCACGGGTTCAACCATTTGCACACAGTCAAAATCAATCGAGGGCTCCATTCCACCGGCTTTGTCCTGCTGTGGCCTTTATGTACAATCCTGGCGCTCCCCAGCCTCCGCTACCTTGAAGTCCGAGGATGTCTGGAAAGAGGTCCCGAGGCAGGCCCTTCGGACGACCAGGAATGGCTGCAGCTAACTTCAACAGTCGAAACGGTGGTGTTCCTTGAAAGCGAACTCAGCGGTTCAGCGATCAATCAACTCTTTCGTTCTTGCAAAGCTGTAAAGCACTTTCACTATGAAATGGGCCTTCTACCTACAAGCCATCAACTTCTAGACTACTCAAGTCTCGATTTAGCTTTAACATGGAGTGCCGATTCACTCGAAACTCTTCAAATCGATTTTTCAAATGAAGAGACGTCGCAAATTTGGGGCTTCGACTTCAACGTCATCTCATCCCTTCAATCGCTCTCCAAGTTTCCCAACCTCCGAAAAATAGACGTCCCTATCAACGCAATTCTTCAGTTCGATGAGAATGAATGGGAACACGTGGGATCGCGGCTCGGGGCTCTGCTGCCCAAATCACTCGAAGAGTTCTCACTTTGCAACCCGATACAAAGACACCAAGTGCGATTTAGTCAGCTGGAGGAGTTTGTAGACAAAGATGTGGGGAATTTCCCGAATTTGAAGCTCATACATGTGCGATCAACAGAACCCAGGCATCCGGATTGGGACAAATTAGCCGAGAAACTCAGCAATACAAACGTCTCCATTGTAGTCGATTGAGGCTTTCCTAGCCACCCTAGTAAGTGCTCCCATTGACCAATCGATTGGTCAAATGCTGACAAAGACTCGTCACTGCAGACAAAGAGTTCGCCGCAATGATAGTACACAGTGTTAGCAAAATCAGACATCATGCGCTGTTCGTCCCATAATTTCTTGATGTTCTGTGGGAAAACGCAGCATTAGAGTTTGATTGAGAACGCCCACCCCTTTGTTACGCGAACGTGGTTCACAACACTCATTCACAACCAGCAATACCTTCACATACACATGCCGTAAGCCACCAGTGACTACAAAATATGCAACTGTGTCCAACTTCTCCCAAGATTCTGCTTCTGCTTCTTTTCAAACAACGAATTCACCGCATCTTCGTCACAAGCGCGGTCACGTGGGGATGCAGCCTCGCTTTCCAAGATTATCCTCGGACTATATTACCTCCTCTTCATACGCAACAATAAACGCCTTGCGAACAAATACTTCTCCTAGCGAGCACTAATGGAAGTGACTTCTGTGGCTCCGGAGGCGACAGGAATAAGGTTTGTGATCCCATCATCGGTCCCGCTCCCGTGACTAATCTTTTCATAGAAACTGCGATTCTTCACCCCCAGGGTCCCATCGTAATCGCCCTGCCAAGTCCCACGGCCTACGCACAGTCGTTGATCGAATACCGAAGCGAGTATGGGTCGTAGCTATCGTTGCGTTCTGGGAGAGGTTTACGTTCTGGGGGGTCACGGCGCCGTGGCGTGAGTTTGTCCGACATGCCGCTTCGCAATAAAGTGATTTCCATTAACCTTGGCTCTTCACAGAGAACTACATGCAAAATTCGCCCGAATCCGACACTGTGCCCGGTTACTTGGGTCTAGGACAAGCATCAGCCACTAGGATCTACAACGGATTCTACATCTTTTACTATATCACCCCTCTTCCCTTTGCAGTCGTCTCTGACACTCGCTTCGGCAGGTACAAGACCCTCTGTCTCAGTGTCATGTTAGTGTAGTGCCGTTATTTCTCCAGCTTACGGTAATTTTAATATACTGACCGACTGTAGGCTGTATATTCTGGGCTGTGGTTTGTTACTCCTGAGCTCTTCCCCTTCTGTGCTCCCAGCTGGAAGATTGGGCTTACCCGGCCTTCTTGGCGCAATGGCTTTGATCGGCCTTGGAGGAGGAGGGTTCAAAGCTATTATGCCCCCATTCATAGGTAGGCCTTGATTTATTGCTCCAGACCTAGATATAGTGTTGGCCTAACTTCGTCATAGTCGACCAGTACCTCGAGACCCAGCCCAAGCTTAGGACCCTAAGAACAGGGGAGCAAGTAATGACGGACCGGGCACTCACCGTGCAGTACATATACAACTTATATTACTGGTGAGTATGAAGAATATCATAATAGGTTCCTTGAAGGCGGGCTGACTCTTTGGTAGGGTCGGAAATCTGGGATCACTCTCTTGGTTTGCCACCACATTCCTCGAGTTTCACAATACCTTCACATCTGCGTACTCCATACCCCTAATTGGAATAATACTTGCGATGGCTATGCTCCTCCTGGGTTTAAAGTGGTATAGTATGCTTTCCAGCCCCCAGCTGAGTTACCACCATGGAGGCTAATATAAATCGCAGTCAAGGCACCTCAAAATGGGAACGTACTTCCCAAAGTGGCCAGTATTTTTACGCACGCTGCTAGAAACGGGTTTAAAATGTCACACGCACGCCCAGAATACTTACTTGAACATCGTGAAAAGATTGTCAGCTGGACCGGCAAACTTTGCGATGAGCTTTGCGACGGGCTTAGGGCTTGCCGGGTATTGTACGCTCCATTCATTAATTGGGTGAAGACGTTCCTATATTAAAAGCTAATCATTCTTTCAGGGTTGCGTTCGTCATGTTCTACGTCTGCTTCGACCAAATGCAAACCAACCTGATCTCTCAAGCCGGGCAAATGGAGTTCAAGAATTTCCCAAACGACGCGCTTCCCGGCATCAATCAAGTGGCCTGTATTGTCCTTGGCCCACTTATACAGCACGGACTGTATCCCTTCCTCCAACGGCGGAGAATCAGCTTCAACCCTATTGCTCGAATTACAGTTGGATTCATGTTCATTGCACTCTCCATGTTCTATGCCACATTCATCCAGAAAATTATATATAGCACTGGACCTTGCTACAAGCACCCCAAAACCTGCCTCGAGTCTCCAGCATCAAATAAGCGGCCAATTCCCAATCACGTGAACGTTTGGATTCAGGCTCCGATGTACGTTCTCATTGCTATCGGTGAGATCTTTGCACAGGTTACCGCACTCGAATATGCCAACGAGAACTCTCCAGAAGATATGAAGGCTATCGTGCAAGCTATCAATTTGCTCATCGCTGGGGTCGGCTCCGCATGTGCAATGAGCCTTACACCGATAGCTCGAGACCCATACGTTATCATTCTGTATGCATGCCTAGCAGGTGCAATGGTACTGACTACGACAATCTTCTGGTGGATATTTCACGCATACGATAACTGCTATTCTTCGCTTGGTAGCGAGGATGCCTTGGTGGAAACAGAGGAAAATCCAGGGAATAACAATATCTTTCGGAACCATCTAGACGCTAGCACACCTGAGATGAGATTGGAAGGACGACATGTATTGGATAGACCACCAAGTGCACATATTCGTTCACAGTGGTGCGAGTTTCACGGTACAACCATTGACCCCATGACAAGGAATGTTGAGAGGGGCTTGGACTTGCACACTAGAGCTAAGACGAGGAAACACGCCAAACTCTCCAGACGAAGGTTGAGCAGAGCAGTCGGCAAACACAGTCCCGATGGACGTCTCACGAAGGAGTCTTACTACCTCGATCTTGGTTCACTAAACTCGGGAGCTGCTGTTACGAAACCGAGGGGTTCGGAACGGATAATTACATCTGGTGCGATGCTTCATGGGACCATGTCATTGAAAGGAATGACTGCCAAATCACCTCACACTATGCGACCATCGACTAGAGCACAGGTGTCCCCGGAAGTTGAGGCGCAAGATTTTCATCATGACTGCAGTCCGACAACTAGGCAATATCACAGTTCATTCGCTCCGTTTTGTGTTGCACTGTCTCCATCTTCGGTTTACGGAGTACCCAGCGTACAGCAATACCCATCTCAGAGCCACGAGACTCTCTCCCCATCCTCGGAGTGTACTTCATTTGCGATAGCATTAGAAACGATTAAATATGGCCAGGGGTTAGAACCACCCACCCCTAGCGATTTTGCTTGCCGAGAATTGCTCCAGGACAAGGTTGGGCCAAGTGCCACTTTCCAAACTCCAAGACCCCTCTCAACCCACGCACAAACGAACCAGCCTCATGAAGATGACAACGACAACGGCAGCGACGGCGACGACAGTACCTCACCTGTATCTACCGCCTCAAGCATATGCGATTCTGCTAGCATATATTCGCAAAATACAAGGTCAACTCCATATTCCAGTTTCCTCCCTTCCCAGTCACAGTGCGCATTCCCTCGCCTCCAAGGCATTCGCCCACACGATCCGACAGGAATCTCAAACAATTTAGGTATTAACAGTACGCGCCATCCCTCAGACGTCTTCTCGGTCAGCACAACCATGCAAGAAGCCCTCCGCAATATAAGGGATGCTTCTTCTGGCCAACGTTCACCTGATAGCGACAGGGTCTCAGCTGGCAAATGAGCGACTCTCGATCCCCCACCAGATAGTACAGATCTTTACGGTTTGTAACTGATGCCGACCCGAAAATTTAATGTGTGGCATACGATTCATACACTTCCTACTCTCCACTTTTGTATCTGACATAAGCATTGGGTATTATCGGATTCTCCTTCTTGCTCAAACTTCACTTTTGACAAGGCATTTTGAATTGCTTTTGTTTACATCCGATATTTGAAAGGCATTTGCTGTATGATTTCCTCCCTTTAGGCGGCATCCTGTTCTCACCTATCTCTTGTATCTAGAAATGCTGATAGTAGTACTAGATAAGGAGCACCTAGGAATAGGCTGCGCTAAGGTCGAGACGGAATAGAGTATGTAGGTTGGTTGTAATGTCCAAGCAAACACTACTTTTTAATCCAGTTGAAGTGTGAAGGAGATTGCGATAGTTTTCTCATACTTAAGATCAGTAAAATGAAATGCCCCAGGTATATATGAAGCTCGTGTACAAGCAGAGGCAAAGTGTCAATCTTAGGCATGCCACCAAACCTCCCAATATCAAAGAACAACCGACATAATCCGGTTCCCAACACATGCAAGGCCTATCTGAAACGTACAAGAAAAATGCTATTTGTGCAAAGTTGCCAAAAAGATTTGCCCACTATCAGAATCGAACTGATGACCTTATCATAGCGGCCTACTAGTGATACGCTCTACCACTGAGCCAAGCGGGCTGGCGAACCAGCTGCATTGAGATAATTGACAAATTGGGAAGTAAAATAGTATATAACCTAAATAACTATAACGGTTTTTCAAAGCCTCTAGAAAAGATTTAGTGCGAAAAAGCGGCAGCGGTGTGTAACACTCGGTAAACGATCCAATCTGTTATGATCTGCTGTCTACCTGGACGGAGTGGGGCTCATCACTCCTTCGCCGCCTTCATCTATGGCTCTCGCAGCCCTAACATATAACTACATCATCTCCTCGTAGCTCGACTCTTTCCGCACCCTCTAACTCACCTTTAGCATCTGCAAAACTCTCATCGTGTCCCTCCGACACATGCTGTTTTCAACCCATCTTGGGCTTGGCATGCCGACCGGAAGCTCAGCCCTAGCGACCTGTCCTGTTTTAGCACATTAGTCGAATCTAGATCCAATTGATCCCTTAACCAAGTTCGCTAATAAGACCAGTGCAAACCCTCGCATTTCCTACTCGTTCTCGCTAGCAATTCTTGAAATGCGCCGGCGTGGTGATTATGTTGCTTGGAAGTCGCGCCAAGTACTGGCGGCACTAGGCTTAGCTCCGTCAGGCACCAAAACTGACTTCCCTCGCCCTTGGACCTCTGTCGGCAGTGCTGCTGTCTAGTCCTATCCGCTAGCTCTACGGGCCATGATCTCAGCGATTAGGTCCAGAATTAGGGCAGGGTAGATCAATAGCGAATATACCTCTGTTACATCAACGTATCGCAGGCCTTTTAATAAGCAAATTTGTAGCGTTTTCAAGGTCCATCTCGACTTGATTGACTACCTATTTAAGTTAGTGACCTTCCCGTATAGGTTTAACATATCCTAAATAGGCATAGCGTTTCTCTCTGGCAGTGAACTTGACCGCTTGTTGGGAGTCTGGCGTATCGGGATACTGGGTTGGTAGCGTACGTGATCCGACGCCAGATTGAGGTCGAGATGCCCGCAATTCAGATGCCGGTGGCGAAGCGCGGGAGTTGCTATATTTCTACTTTAGTGTTAGCGTTAGCGCAGAGAGTCTGATCATTGTTAAGCTCTGCATGAGATTCTACTGGTTGGCTGAGGACCGCCATATCGTAGTTTCTGTGAGCACAAATTCCGGTTCTTCGTTCGAAACGGCTTCGCTTTATTGGCGTGGTGGGCTGGGGCTGGGAGATGGGGGAATGAGGAGAGGATTGAATTGCGCGAGCTCCAGAGACGGAGAGGGGAAGGGGTCCTCTTAGACTTCGAGTTCGTCTGAGTGGTGTGGCCGAGTTCTGTAAGTCATCTTTTTCTTGCTTGTTCTTCTGGTATTTCTTACACAAGTAGCGAGATGTTATGATCATATTAAAGGATTCAAAGAGACAAGTGAGACCAGGTCCAATCAGTGTGGGTCAATTGACATTCACGATAACTAACAAGCTTCCCAAAAGATTCCACTCAAAAGAAAATTTAGTAGAAAGCGGCTGAGAGTGACAAGAGCACCGCTCTCTGCACAGCTCGCCCAAGCAGTTCAATATCTGCCATCTGCTCCTCCGCCTCAGAGCGAACACGAGAATTCAACCCTTGGCACCCGTCTCCTCCACCACGTATTTCGGCTGCTCTGTCACACTTGGGCGTCTAAGCCACACCACCATGATCCCAGAAAAGTTAGGCAGGCCATTACCAAGGGGCTTAGAGACGCGAGGTAAGCTCGGGAGCAGAAAGCTTAGGAAAGCTTGTGCTGACTTGGTATGGCAATCAGACTCCGAAGAAGCTGGTTGGCGCGCACGATGTGTCATGATGAAGGCGGGTGAGCGTATCAATTGTCCCGCTCAACATACCTTTTGTTCCGCTTTTAGTTCAACATAGGATAGGGTAGATCAGGACGAACTGCGCCTTTGAAAGGTTTGTCATGACCTTTCATGGTCTTCATAGCGAAAAGGAAGTTGTGAGAATATGGAGATAGCAGGCGCTCCGCAGTGCGTCACCAAAAGGTATACACCAACTGCGCAATGACGGCCTCAGGCCTAATTTTCATCAGCCTTGCCTTTTAGGGAAACGACTGCTCTTGGCCGTCTATAGTGCAACTATGCGTCCCGGAGTCGGGAGTACCATGAGCAAGAACGTGTAAGGGCGAAAAAGATACCAGTTTGGCGGCCGGTACTCGATGTGCTCAACCTTCTGGATATTGTCCGCAGGATCTTTGTCGCATTTAAACCGCTGCTTACGAAAACTCTCCCGCAGGTCACAGATTTAGCTTGTCTCTACCCGCGTAATTCGGTACGTCGAAAGAGGGAAAGAACGTAGGAGTTAAATAATTTGTTTCTGGAGCCGATACAGTAGAAACAGCAGATGGGTATTACGAGGACAAATCTCCGGTCCCGCAGGCGCATTAGAATGACGCTAAGGCGCTAAGGCTAGCCATTACGAGGGGAATTTCGCAAGTGAGGTAGAGAAGCAGGGAGGGCATACGCCAAGCCATAAGTATTTGGGTGTTGAAAGGATGGGGAGAACAGGGTCAAGAAGTCCATCGCCGTCACCATCAGCTGGGGGGGAGGGCGCGCAGCCGAGGAATATAGTGTAGGTGGGAATAGGTTGTGGGACCGTCGGCAAGGCGTTGTCAGGAGTTCGAGTTAAGAATTAGCATTAATTCAGCGTCTACATACTTTCTGTTTTATCTGTGCTTCTATGCTTTCGTCAACTCCTCAATCCCTGCCCGCAAACTCCCAATCACCATCTCTATCCACGACCCCTCAACAACCCCCTCTAGCCAAGCAATTCCCAAAACTAAACACCCATCTCCACCCGTCACAACACTAACCTCAAACCCCGCACCCACTACATTCCCACTCTGACTAAAAACCACTTTGCCTACCCTCCAGCACCCTTCGCCCTCCACCATCCTCGACGCCTTAAACACCCCAACATTCGACAACTCAAAAGAATCCCCCCTCTCTTTCCCCATCTTCCCGAGGAAGAATTTATGCAAATCCGGCACCCAGCGGAGTAGTCCAACCGTAGAATCTTTGCCCTTTTTATCCAACTCTTTATTAATCGTTTGGCGAACTTTCCTTGCCTCAGCCCAAGAAAACGGGTCACCCTTCCTTGTCCGCCGATGCTCAAATCCATACCGACTAACCCAACACCCCAAACTCTCATCACTCACCATCTCCTTTAGTAAGAACCTCCTCAAACTCGTCGCTCCACATGCTGTAACCCTATCAACCCCCCCTCCCTCTTCTGCTCCAGGGAGGTGTGAGAATATGGCTGCAGCAACAAGGCATTCCAGAGTCGCAGTCACGCTAGTTTTATTCTCACGACTTACTTGGACGAGGCGGGTTGTGGCTTGTTGGGATAGTGTGTTGGAGCGGAATTTTGTTTCTCGGGATGCTGGGTCGGATGTGATGGGTTTAGCAGTCCAGAGAGTGGTGGGCCGGGAGGGGAACCAGTCTGTCCACTGCGCTTTGAGGAGAAAGGGAATGGATAGGGGGAGGGGGTGGAGGGATTCCAGAGGAGGGAGGAGAGGAGTTGTTGGTGTGTTGATTATCGCGCTTTCTGCAGCTCCACTCTCCGACATTCCTGGGGGAGGGGTGGAAGAAAGAGACTGTAAAGCAGCGAGAAACGCGCGATGAAAAGCAAGTCCCGAAGCACCGTCCGCGAGCGCGTGATGGAATATCCACGTAGCAGCGAATTGGTTCTTGGTAGCTGGAGGTGAATTGGTCAATACGACGAGCCGCCAGAATGGAAGACTCCCGAGCTCGGATTTGAAGTTCTGGTTATGCTGCTCGGCAATAATAGAATCCAATTCGGCATCGTCACCGCCTTTGTGAAACCCTGTTTTACGTTTTACAAAGAAAACACATTTCCGCAAATCGATGGTGGGGAGACGGGCGAAATACGGGGAAGAGGTGTTTTCGTTCAGAGGAATAGCGCTGAGGATTGGGTGAGAGAAGATTACTTTTCCAAGCGCGGAGTGGATTAGTGGTTCAAGTGGCGCGGGCTGGACTGGGTTTGGGGGGGAATAGTATGCCGCACAGGCGACGTTGTTGTATAATCCTAGGTCATGTCGTACAGTTGAATGGGTTTCGAGGCGACCTGAAGGAGATTGTTAATTGGGTGGATATTGGAAGGGGGATTGAGGAGTGAAAAGTACCGCATGGTCGAAGTTTCTCGAGGGATTTGGGGTCGGTCATCGTTTTGCTATTAATGTACAGATTGAAGGTATGAACCTCGATGAAGCAATTGGTAGGAAAGCTTCTGCACAAGGAATACAGCGGATGTTCTTCTGTCCCGCTCGCCAAGCACGTATTGAGTGAGTTCTAGTTGTTGGGCAATACTTCGTTCTTATTCAAACCGTAGAAATGCAGTCCGAGGGTTCCGTGATCGGGACGTCGACAAAAATTTTGAGGTTTTTAAGCCCTCTATTTGTCCTGAGCACAATACTCAAGCCAATGGAGATAAGATAAAGGGGATATTAAAAGTGGACCTTGCTATTAGCCTAATCAGGAAAAGCTTGCGAACACGGGAGGATTTGAAGTTTACCGAAAGCAGTTGAAGGAATTGTAAAATTGAGAGACTATAGACTATGGAACGGAACGCAGAAAGAGAAGGAAAAATAGATCTGGAATTCTGACATGCTCATCTCTAGTTAAATCATCACCTGCAGAGATCCCGTACTTTAAGTAGTCGATCGACAACTATGCAATCCTGATGTCGGGCCTGAAGATCCGGAAGCAATCAGTTGTAACCCTGTGGTATGGTTCAGCATATCCAAGCCTTGACCTTCGCAAGCTCATGATTGAAAGTGAGGATATCCCACTCATGCAGATTCAAGTCCTTCCTATTACCATTCCAACACATACGTTTTATATCCCTCCTTTCCTTTATAAACAATTCTTTCAGTTCCCCCATCCCAGAAAACATCTGCCGTCTTCAGCCATTAGGGCGTCCTTGGGCCACTAGTAGAAGACATGTAGGAAATCAGAGACTCGCATATCGGTCCTCAAGCTAACATTGACCTTTCCAATAAACACGATTCCAGACTCCCAGTCTTTGGCGTAGTCATAATTATAGTTGCATCTACTTCAGCATTGTACCCTTCGGCCTCGAAGATATTAGCGAGGCAGGAGTCTTCGATTTTCTTAATCATGTCGGAACCGGAATACAGTGTCGTCGTCTCACTCTATGGTGAGAATATTCTTTCCGTGCCCCATAAACGATTCCTGGTAAGGCCGGCATTGCTTACGAAGTCCGTCACAGAACTTGCGAACAGGCAAGGGCCATTAATTTTCCGGGCTCTGGCATCTTGTATACTTCAAAGATCCAGGCATGGCAGGATGCCCAGTCAAACTCGTGTCGGGGCACACGATAGAAGTTTGCGAACATAAAGATTGACCGAACTCTACAGGTAGTTCCCGCGTGTCGCTGACGCAAACGAGAAGATACCAGTCAACAGCTAGTAGCTTAGAGGCAGACTCAGAACCTTAGAAGCTTTTTAGAGACCTTCTAATTGTCGATGCCTTCTGCGCGTTTGTGTCGCCTAGTGGAGGAAGCGCCCTGTCTAGATGCGGGTCGAGATCTTGTCGTTTTCGGCATCCTTTCTTAAAGAGAATTGTTACAAGCGATGGGATGGAGATGAAATGGCTGAGGAGGTACAGAAATGAAATCAATAGATGAAGAAGGTCTGGCGGAAATCGCTGAAGTTGACGACACCATAAGATGCAGATCATCTGCGAAAACAATTAGTCAGTACTCCAAGCTATACATCTTCTTTTTAACGTGGCGAATACGCCTGCTTATCTTTCACCTCCTTCCAAAGGCTACCGTTGTACAATTACCATCGACATAAAGACATGTCGTCGTCTTTCCTACCCAACGCTAGGAGATATCGTCGAGTCCCAGCAAAGGTTCATCATGAGTCAGGATGTGGCTTCATGAAGCAATAATCAATCGTAGAGTATGGGCTAATATTGGGATCAAAGTTTGTGACGCCAATCCGTTATCTATTACGGCTTTACATGGTCATTACAAGCTGGAGGAAGGAGTATATCTGTTGTGCCGGGAAGCGACCTCGGCTGGACTATTGAATTCCCCACAACGCCAGGTCACTCCACCATCATATCCACCTTCATCATCCCCACCGGTGTCAGCCAACGCCTGACGTCCCGTATCTTTCTCGGATCCGAACGAAGACACTGCCTAAATGCCTACGATGTCGTAAAAGAGGAGCCAACAATGGTTACATCTAAAACACGTAAGTAACTGTAACGCCACAGTTACTCCAAGGCTCGCTAGTAATTACTCATCAGCCATCACATCAACTCATCAACCCTGGAACCGTCAGTTCTTCGGATGGTGGTCACAATTCAACTTTCTTCGGTGCCGAGTCCCGCACCCCGCGCACTGGTGGGGGTTTCTAGACATCGCACCACTTGTGAACGCCCCTTGAGTCCCATCGCAATAGGCTTCCATCCACAGTCAATTTTCGTGCTAGTGAGATTGGGGGGGAAACCCCTCACTGGTATCTGGTCGGCTACGACGCAAGGGGGCGGCGGAGAGCCTTCCAACGACTCAAATTGTCCCTCGTGCAAAGTGTGGTTGTACCTGACCAGGTCTCCGGGATTCTGAGGTCTCAAGACGGACAATTAATCTTCCAGACAGACTGAGAACAAGGCCTCGAAGTCCGAGAACAGTTCTGATTCGATTGAAGAATCCTGGATCCAACAACCTAGTGGCTTGAAACATCAACATGCAGGGCTCAGCTCTGCCCTTGGAACGCCACGCAGGCGCTTGCGGACTCGAACCCACGAACTGCTGCTTGACTGCAGAGAAAAACCGGGGCTAAATGTGCCCCGCTAAGCGAACTCCACATCTGCTGCCACCAGCATATCAAGGGCTCTTCGGTCTGCCTTCCCCTTCCCCGCGAGTTGACCGCGCAGCCCCGATAGTGATCTCTTCCAGGCGTCCCATGGTTCCAAAGATTTCTCCAAATTTATCTACGGGAGAGCTTTGAAGTTCGCACGTTTTCGCACCGTGGACCTTAGGCTCAACACTTCAACTCGCCAAGTGAGTGGCCTCTTCCTTCTTGGGCGTCGAGCTCGCACCTGGTTCAATACTTTCCCACGTGGCCGCCTCATCGTTTATGACCCTCAAACATGGATTCGGGCCTTTCCGAGCGCATGGACAAAACCCTGCAAGAGCTTCTTCCCAAAGCTGCTGCAGCCGTGGCTACACCCAAGAACTATGATCCTTCAACTGCAATTGATCTGTCAAGCGCCCACAATGCGGTCATTCGGGACGAACTCCAAGAGTTCTTTAAAACCACAGTAGAGGATAGACTCACAGTCGATGTAGGTCTTCAAGCATATCTCCTTTACGTATTGACACTCCTCAGGCATTTGACTTGCCCGACACAATTGGCGGCGACGTCGCTCTTCGCCAGGCCCTGACATCGTTCCTAAACTCATACTTCAACCCAATACATGCCCTAACCCACGAGCATATCGTGCTCACCGCCGGGGCAAGTGACGCGCTCGAGAACTTGGTCTATGCGGTCTGTAACGATGGCGATAGTGTCATTGTTCCAGGTCCTTTCTGGTGTATGTCGTCTACTTTGCAATTCCCTCGCTGCTCAAATGCATGAGCCTTCGACTGACCAGACTATCTAGATGGGTTTGAAGGAATCCTGAAGTCTCGGCCGGGTGTCAATATTATAGCAGCTCATCCGCCAACCTATCAGAACCATGACAACTACCTCATTCCGTCTCTTCAGGCGGCATACGACTTCTCGGCTGATAAATCACGGATCAAAGCGGTCATCATATGCAACCCACACAATCCATTGTCGCAATGCTATCCCAAGAAGACGCTCGTAGAGTGCATGGAGTTTTGCCAGGAACGTGGACTACACCTCATTTCGGATGAGCTCTACGCCCTTGCCTCACTCAAGGGTACTTCAAACAACGGCACACCATTTGTATCTGCCTTGTCTTTGACGGAGCCATTGGTACCATCTGGGGCTGTAAAGGTTGATCCAAGCCGCGTCCATGTTATTTGGAGTCCAAGTAAACTCTTTGGCTCGAGCGGATTCAGAGTTGTAAGTTCATGTCCACAGCCTCGCGCTTAACCTACCTCTAATCTCCATAGGGTTGTGTTATATCGCAGAGCAACCCCCAACTCCGCCAGGCTCTTTCTCTCCTGACCTATTGCCACACGAACAACATCGCCTCGCTGTATCTAACATCCCTCCTCTCTTGGTCCCAACTTCCAACCCTCCTGGCCTTGAACTCTGAGCGACTGAGCGAGTCATACCGCGTACTTGCCGAGGCACTACAGCGATGGGACGTCGACTTCGTTCCGCCCACTCACGGTATATTCCTCTTTGCAAGGTTAGCTAAAAAGGCAAAGACAGTTGAAGAAGAGATGAGCTTCTTCAATCGACTGGCTGCCCACGGTATTCGTGTGAGTCCAGGTCGTTTCTACAATGGCGTGGACCCAGAGCTTGCTCAGCTTGGGTGGGCAAGGATACGGTTTTCCATCCCGGTTAATGACATGTCGGCGGCAGTAGCTCATATTTCAAGCTTTCTTGCGAAGGAACTTTAGGAGGGGAGTTTTGTCGAGGCTTCAACCACCCACTTCCTCTATCACCCACTTCCTCTATCACTGGCGGGTCTATTAAAAACCCCGATCGAGGTCTTTCATCGAGAGTTATCTGCGGTCAGGCTCCGGTCCTGTCGAACGGTTCTCACCAATTCAATCAGAAAGTGACAAGTCATGTCCCCACTACCGAGCAAGAGATCCACGCTCGTGTTTTTCATTCCAGCACGAGTCAGTGACACAGTCCGGTCCGGATGGGGATTGCTTGCTTCGATTCTGGAAGCGCCGATGTGGGTAGTGTGCGAGTAAGCGGCGCGGTCAATCACCTACCAATTCAGTAACTCCAATTCGTCTAGCATCGCGTATATGCATGTCAGACTTCTCGTCACTTTGACTTGCCACCGGTTCCAGAGTCTCGGGTCTAAATTCACTTCCCACGCTGTGCAGCAATCTATCTGCGGCGCCGGCAACAGATCCCTTGCATCTCCGTGAACATTGGTCTTGGCATCGGAATTGCTTCATCCGTGGAGTCCTTCAACTCGCTCTCTCGACCAGCCAGTCAAGCCTCGGCTTCTTAGCTTATACCTGAGCAAACGCAGAAAACCGCTGGTGGTTGAAAGGAGATCTCGCCAAGGAAAATCATTCCGGATTCGGATCAGTGCAAATCACAAGCAACTCGCGTTTGCGCTAGAGCATCGTCCAGCAATGCTAAACTGGCTTGAACTATCTTTCCTGATAAGAAACCTAATCTCAGTGGGCAATATAAAATTGAGTTCCTCGATGCGCCACAGCTGCACGACTTGCTGATCTCGGCCCCTCACTTCCTGTGCCACAATTGCGGGGTCCATGAGATAGGCGTCTCCTTACTTTCAGCTTAAACACGCAAGTGCTACAACATTAAGTTTTCCTAACCTCTCAATTGATATTCGTTCGAGGGTTCAGGAGCTAATTACCATGGACGGCTCTGAGCTCACTTCCCAAATTTTAGCGCTGGTAGATGCCGGAGCTGGTGGACTTGATGAAGGTCAACGACTCCGTCTGCTCGCAGCATGCAACAAGTTGAGAGACACGCTGCAAAGTCCCATAGAAAGGACGATTCAAACTATGCTTGGTGTATGCTCTCGTCTTGTCTCCCAGCTAGTCGGAAAGGCTTAAAAAAGACTTCAGGGCCATGATCCCATCGCTCTTAGATTAGCTATCGACCTCGGGCTCCCAGACATCGCTCTTGCAAATAACGGTCCTATAACTATTGAAGAACTAGCAGGGAAGAGCAAAGCAGATATCGCTCTCGTTCGTAAGTACCCCTACCTCAGATAAAACTCACTCTTCTCAGCCCATACTGTCCAGGCCGCATAATGCGCTTCGTCTCCTGCCTCGGAGTCTTCTCAGAAGTCGACGTCGACACATACACCGCGACACCTTTAACCGGCACCTACTCCACCAGTTCTCCCATGCGAGAAGTCGTCATCCATCTCTCAACCGCCGAACCCACAATCGGTAGGCTCCCCGACTACTTCGCGGAACGCGGGTGGCAGAACCCAGATGATGCCCTCAATGGCCCGTGGCAATTTGCCGAGCATACCACAGACCAGTACTGGGAATGGCTTGCTAAACGAGAGAGGTTGCAGCGCGCTTTTAACATTGTGATGGGCATGCAGAGGAAGATGAGAGGGGAAGACTGGTTTGAGTTTTTTCCCGTGGAGGAGAAATTATCAGTTGGTGATGTGAATGAGGGGGGAGTTGTGTTTGTTGATATTGGGGGTGGTTTAGGCCATGACCTCGTGCGGTTTAAGACTCGATTCCCGGAACTCCGCGGGAAGTTCGTGCTAGAGGATCTTCCATCCGTGGTTGCGGCTGCTAAGGACCTCCCAGCGGATATAGCAACTCTAGGTCACGATTTCTTCATCCCGCATCCAGATGAGATTAAGGGCGCGAAGGCGTATTATCTTCGGACCATCCTACATGATTGGCCTGATAAACAAGCACTCGCTATCCTGGCCAATATCAAAGATATCATGGCCCCGAACTCGCTGTTGCTGATCAACGAAGGAGTTTTAGCGGAGAAAGGCGTGAGCTTGTTTGAGGCGAGACATGACTTCCATATGATGGCGAGATTCTCAGCGTTGGAGAGGACGGAGAAGCAGTGGAGGGTTTTGTTGGAAGAGGCGGGGTTTGAACTGGTTCAGATATGGAGGTCTGAGCAAGTTGCGGAGGCGAAAGGAGCGTTGATGGAAGTTGTTGTTAGGAAGTAGCGAGCTCGCTAGCAATTATGCAGCATTTCAAACTGGAAGTTTACCTTCCAACCCTGCCTGCATCCGCACGGCGGAAAGTCAGGCATATACTATTTCTATCAAGCGGGGAGACTAGTATCGAGAAATTGTCTAATCTCCTATTCTTATTTCACGATCCCCTAATGTATTTCTCATTCCTAATCCGCATCTTCACTCCTGAAGCTCGTTCCCCCAACATTTTTAAAGTTAGAGAGCGCAGTTCGCCTTCTTTTCCGTCTAGCCTTCCCAAGTCCATTATAAAGTAAACGAAGCAGCGACGACTTCCAAACGGGCAAATCGTTTCCTTTCCCGTTCTCGACATATCCTGTTCTCGACATATCCTGGTACTAAAGTTACAAGCAGTAAGATATCTAAAAAGGTAAGCACGAAGGTCGGGAATACGATTCCTTCAATTCGACCTCTGTGCAGACAGCAGCTCGGAGGGCATCATCCGTTGCGCGTGAAGGCACTGTATTGTTCCATTTCCGGCCGCCCTACTTTCGGCCCTCCCAATCTTGAGCCGCCAGTCTGAACGAATTTGCTGCTGCTTCAGCTAGTCGGTTCACGGCTGCTAATATCAAAGCGTTGTCGCAAATCTTTTTATTAAAGAAAGTATTAGTGTGCACTATCGACATTGTAGACATGGATTGGGAACTAGCAGTGGTGTGCAAAGAATGTGGAAAGGTGATTTGTAGGATTAGGCTAAAGCGCCTATCCATGTGGAAGAGAAAACTTGTATAGACGCTGATATTTGGTCAGAGACAAAAAATTTGGTCGGGTTTTGGCACGTTTTCAGGGAGTAGGGAGAAGATTGCTGGCCTATACATGGTTGTCAAGACTTAGGCAAGGGCTATTAATGATGATGATGTCGTCTTGCTAGGCTCGACCATGTGCTGGTAGGATGGTGGGACAAGGTTTTTTTTCTAACAACTCCGTTTGATACATGCCAACGGAGATTCTTAATACACGGATAGAAAAAGCATTCAGGGTCCATACTTCAATACAAGAGCTGCATAGACCCAACGAAGCATGAGTGACCCCATGCAAGGCCTAAAATTTGTAATACCTCGTCGAGAGATCCACCAGTAACTTCCAATCTGCCCTTTTCGGGTTTGAAAGTCCAGAGCTCGTCTTTTCCAATGGCGGTTCCCAACGCACCATACGGCTTTAGTACAATCGCACATGATAGGGGTGAATGAGCAATTGGGATAGTTACACGAGTTCCATTGCTAACCTGTTGAAAGGGGGCGGATTGATTGGGCTGTTGAGTGAGTGGGCCTATTCCAAGTGAAAATATAGGGTTGGGGACAATGGGGAACGCTTACGGAACACATCTAGAGTAACTGATTCGCGGATGGGTCGAGCCATAAAATGCGTGTGACAAAAAAAGGCTCTAATATTGCGAGATATGTACTGTGACCGAAACGGGAACGAAAGAAAATCAGTCAGAGGCACATATCCGTACCAGAATTCCAAACTTTTGCCTTTAACCCACAGCATTCCGCACCACCCATCTCTTTCCACCCACTCTGCAAAGAATCCTGCACCAGAACACTCTTATTAACCTCCTGCCTACTTTGCGGTACATCTAGCGCGGGGTTCTTATCAAAAAAATCTGACGGCTTGAGACTGATCGTTATGATCTCGACCGGCATCACTGGGTAATCCTCTACCCTTGGATTATGCGTCATACCGAAGGTATGCCAAAGAACAATATCACGATCCCGTACGTCCTCGTTTCTAGATGCGTAGTCCTGCACACCATCGACCTCTGAGATGGATTGATTCGTCCATTTCCCCCCGGCCCAGAGATTGCCATCTCGGTAGCGGGTTACCCAGATGTGGTGCTCGGCGAAGCGGGCGCGGCGGCGGGCGACTGAGTCGGGGCCAGCGAGAATGAGTTGGCAGGGTTGGGGGACAAGTTTGTAGCCGACAGTATTTCCGGACACAGGGTTTATGACGCTCTCGTTTACGATTTTGAAGCAGCGGTTTGTGAAAGGATTAGCATCGGCGTGACCAGAGCGTTCGAATATTGTCTTCATGACGCGCCAGGCATTTCCATGGGGATTCTCTTGTTCTGACTGGGAAATAGCAATTGACTCCTCTTGTATTATGCTGTTCTCGGGGCCATCAAGCATGGGATCGATCCTCAGGCAAAACAGGTGCTGATGATTAGTTGCAAGTACCCCGGGAGAAACCACATTTCCCCAATGCGATGTTTTGCCAACATCAATCAAGGATGTAGACATGATACCAGTAGCGCGAGTCTCAAATTCTATGTTACCATTTTGCATGAAGACCCAAGCAAAGACATACTCATAGTTCCCAACTGTGAGGATACTTTGGATAACGAGATTCCGTGCTCGGGTGATAGCTGGATGCTGGGTTCGGTGGTTTGTGTGCTTCCACCCAATTCCACCGTCTTGTTCATGGAGACATATTACGTTCTCTGCCTTCACGGGATTTCCTTTGTCGTCATTTAGCCACCCGTTAAAGTACTTGATGCTTCCTAAACAGTCGCAGCCGAGGGATAGAGTGTTCGCCGTGCTTCCTGCTCCAGCATCACCGACATCGAATGCTTGCTTTCGATGATACGGGCTCCTTGGATCTAAAGTAACAAAAGAACCCCGCTTAGTACATGCTGGCTTGAATGCTGAGGGTTTACTTACCTCCGTAAGGAACCGTCATCTCGCTCATACTCAGCCTGTAGAAGAGGGGTCTACCATCATACCGTATATCATGCAATGTCATGCCTTCACGGTAATGGAATCCGACTCTGAAGCTCCATTTCTGCCAATAAATGCAGTTCTCGTCCGTGACCGTGAAGCTAGGACCCTCCGGTTGAACAATGTGCAAGGGTTTCACATCTTGCCGTGGACACTCTTTTTGAATCTCGTGATAGTATTCATGCTCAACACAGTGAGCCATTGGATGTGTACCACTAGTGTAGTAAGCAAGACAGTCTTCTTTTCCCCCGGTTGCTAAGGCATCTATTCGCACGACTTTCCCAAGAAACACGTCTAGAACGGCCGAGAATGGCAGAGGGAAGGAGTACTGGTTACTGTCGGGATGATTATGAGGCGCACGAACGTAAAGAAGAGATTGGATGAGTTTGTGAGTATCACGGGTTGAGTCTCGGTCGGCTCCGTACATCCAAGGGTCACACTGAACAATGGCGTCCTTTGGAAGATTAAGCTTCATTACCTCTTTGATGACCATTGGATCTGAAAGAATCTTCTGCATGGACTCCCTTGCTTCGACCCTGGTAAACTTTTTAGAATTGGTGCTTGGAGTATAGCAACATGGGGTTACCTGTCGATAGGACCATGCTGGCCTGGTGCAGGGAGGTTGCGTTCAACTTCGGTGTTGCTATCCATGCTGACCACGCTCTCCACTACCCTCATTTCGTTGTCACAACTCCATATGACGCTCAAACAGCGTGGGACAAACTGCCTTTCTCTGAATTGAATACCGGCCGCTTCGGCATCGAGATATGGTAGTAATAAGGCCTTCGGAGGCTCGTGAAGCGAGATGCTTTTGAACCTGATCAGGGTATTTGTCCCATTCTCTGCGTCACTTTTAGCAACGCCTTGTTTAACGATAGCACTTGCTCTCGATATCTCCTCGTCTGTGATCTGATGAAGTGGATGAAGTCGTCGTGCCATTGTGGGATTTAGCTAAAAGAAAATTCCGAGGGCACCCAGAGAACCGAATCGTAGATAAATTCGTCGATAGAGGCTTAGATGTCTATTTTCTCGAGGGAGTCATTGATAGCATAGTCCAGGAAAAACGCCCTATTGTCAAAGCATGATTCGAGCGCGTTCATCCAGAGAGACATGACAAATAATGAGGGGTTGACTGACATTTTTCAGCACCGGGCCGCGCGTGTAAAGCGTATGAAGCTGGTGAGCGAAGAAAAGTGGGTGGAGAATTCGGATATGGACGATTACCCAAGTCACTTATCGAGCAGTGCTTATTGGTGCAGAGGTCGACACATCGTTATCTAACCACATGATCTACTGATAGTTCTAGGAGCCGGTAATTAAAAAAAGCGATGTATTAGTTATGTCCGTCTATCGAAACTATGATAAATGTTGAACATAGGCCCATCAGTGATATTCAATTGAGGACATGTACGAGCATAGAGGTCTTCGTTCTTCTTTTCTTCCCCCTTCTCTCTCAGCTCAGACCTTTCAACTTTTAACATTCGTCCTTCTTATCACGAAATCCCACCCCAATTCTCAACCCCTACGCAGTAGCCTCACCTATAGCCTCCATGGCCTTCGAAATAGCCTCCATTCTCTTTCCTATCATCTCGGTGAACTTAGGCCCCGCAAAATCCCCCCAAATGTCATCTCCAACATCGAAATTCCCCTCTGGAAAAATGGCGACTGCTCGCGACGCAATCTCTTCATTCCCAGCCAATCTTAACACCGCATCGACCACGCCTTCCATTGGAGCAAATCCGAAGATATTCGCGGTAGCAGTGAGGTCCGTCGTCATTGGTGTCTTCACATACCAGGGGGCGACGAGGTTGATTCGGACTTGAAGATCTTGCTCGAAGCCATGAGCACGGATGCTGTGGAAGATACCGCGGACACCAAATTTCGACATAGAGTAAGTTGTGCTGGGGGCATATCCCATGTATCCTACTACAGACGCCAGAAGCACGATGGATTTCTTGAAGGGAATTGAGGCGCTCGGGGCGGGAAGACGAAAGTAGTGGAGCGCGAGGTAGCAGCTATAGTATACACCACGAAGATTAACGTCTACACTGCTAAATCCTGGTTCCGGGGGGTGAGAGTCAAGAGAAGGTACGGTGTGTGCCACCATTTCGAAAAGATTCTTCTGCGCAAGGACCCCTGCGTTGGGGAAGGCGATGTCTAGCTTCCCACCTCCAAACTGAACGGCCGATTTGAAAGCCTTAGCTTGGGCTTCATAGCTTGTAACGTCGCACTGCACGAACTGGACTTTGTGGCCCATGGACGTGAGCTCCTTAGCTATTGCCTGACCTGCTTCTTCCTGGAGATCCACCACGGTTACAACAGCCCCATGTTTAGCAAATGCTTCAACACACGCAAGACCGATGCCACTAGCTCCGCCCGTTACGAGGACTGATTTCCCCTTGAGTGTGGAGGTATCCAAGGCCGCAGTAAAGTCGACTACAGGAGTTCGGGGCCACGTCTTGTCTGCCATAGGAGAGATTGAGGAAGTCATCGTGATTGTAAGTTCGAGGTACTGCGAGATGGTTTGAGGTTGCAATGGAAAGAGAAGTGAACCGTTGGAGATTATGTATTAGCCAAGTAGTTCTCAAAATCTTCGTGGTGCACCGATCGTGCCTTCTATTGACGAAGAGAGAAGTGGTGGAACGTATCCTACTTTACACTGGCACCCAAGGAATGATAACGAAGGAGTTAGCCTCAAGATGGTAGAAGAAGTCTACCACTTAATATGACTAGTTCAAATATCCATACTTCTAGTGAGCGAGCTAGACTAATTACAGCGGTGTTTGTCGATAGAATCAGTAAGAACGCCTCAGGAACACAAGTCTCCCTGACACGTCCCGTCTTTATGTGACATGACATGGCACATGACATGGCACATAGTATGCGAAAGTCCCATTTTGATGGTCCAATCGTTGCAGAGGACTGAGATTCTAACCGAGATACCTTGGTAAGGATTCTTAATGCACACTCCTTTCAGGATTGCGGGGAAGCTTTGTACCCCGCATCATTCAGGCCAAGCCTCCGAACATCAGCTCCAACGACGTTCGGCATATTTTCAGGCGTCCTGTCCATGGGTCTAAAGGAGCCATCTCACGAAGAGTTTCTAATTGGGACAAGCGTATGAGATGCGACATCTGAAACGTAGGACTAACCCTCGTGTGATTCTGGGTCCTCCAATTGTAAGTCTCCATTCCGCAAAGCCGTCAAGTGATCCGCTCTATTGGGAACTGAGGACAAGAGGGGGCCCTAACATCCAGTTTGCCGGAAAGACTTTTTCCCTTGCCACTGTCATCTTTGTCTCCTGTTCAGCTGAAGGTGGCCGAGCAAAGTCACGTGTGGGCTGAGCCTCCATGGCGCTCTTCAGCTCCCTGTTCAGACCTCATCACAAGCCAAACCTATTTTAGCAGCCCAATCGAGTGGTTGGGAGATCGGGAGACTGTAAAAACTTTTCCCGTATTGGTGGCAAACTCATAGAATGTTTTAGTCCAGCCCGACTAAGTATAGCAGTGGCGGGGACTTCGACAGAGCAGAGGCGGGGCAGGAAGATGGCCAGAAAGAATATATAATAGTAGTGAATAGGGCCTCTTAAGCAAGATCAAGTATATCAACACCCATAAATATCAAATCATTTTAAAAAGCCGAAACCGAAACGATTACCGAAAAATCTATATCAATCTCACCATGATCGCGTCTAAAATCCTCCTCTTCGCCCTCCCCATTCTTCCCATCTATGCCGCCAGCTTTGAGTGCCAGTGGCCGGGGCACTGCGTTGGAGCACAGTGTTCCAGCTACGACGATTGCTCTGACGACTTAACCTGCGAAGATGGCCAATGTCTGGTGGCAAACGCGCCTGTCGATCCCTTTACCATATCTTTGTCCACTTGGAATCGACACTACTGTACGTTTGCCCCTGAGGGTTGCCACCACGATTGCGAGCAGTGGAGCCGGTGCTACGACTTTACCGATCTCCTGGTGACTGGCGAACACTTCAACGTTGGAACTGGCAACATACAACTGGAAGTGAGGGATGAAGCGAGCAACACACTAGTTTGGTCGACGATCGGGAACGCGAGGGAAGACACTGGGAAAGTGAGAGGGAGTTTTAGGATGCAGACTCCACTTGGCGCATCCTTCGCCCTGTCCGAAACAAACGCTTATGTGAAGGTCCTGGATATAGAGAGTGGCCAGTGGTCGGAACCAGAATACTTCGCGTACTTGAAGGATGCGGACCAGTAAAGGGATGTAACTGAAAATGGGTATCGAAGTCCATGTATTCATTCGTTTTCCTGCATTTTGTCCGAGAATTGCATTTTCCTGTCATCTTCTAAAGCCTGTCCTTTGTTTCAGCCCATCTATAGAATAATTAGCGATCGATCTTGCAGAGAAAGTTTTCGATACCTTACATGTATCACAATTGATTCCATCTGACGGGAGAGTTTGAATTCATGAGAGGCTAATGAACCACCCCCATTCTTTGAGCACGTCTTCCCAGTCTCTTCTCTTCTCTCCGTTCAGAACAGGCCTCCATACCTCCCGAAGAACTGTCTGTACATCGCCGACGTTTTCGTACCGATTTCGCTCCTGGATCGCTTTCAGTCGTTGGGAGCATTTCGTAATCTCTTCCTCAGACTCTAGTTCTGAACCAGCAAGGAATATGGGATAAAGCAGGCTTGAGTCGGCCGGGCTTCCTGGCGGTATCCTAGATATGAACTGCCACGCCCGGGAAGCTAATCCTGGGACAAGCAATCTGTGCGCTTCCGAACTCCGGTAGAGTTGAATGAGCGCAGCGATGCGACAAGATTCAGCGAGTGCGATGAGGTCGAGCGCAATGGGCATGTCGATGTTCTCAAAAGAAAATGGGCTCTCATATTTCCACTCTTGAATTTCGCGTTCAGTCGCAGCAAATGCCGCCTCGGAGATTTGCGGGAAAGCAGGCGTTGGGGTCGTCACATACTGAATGCGGCATATCAAGGAATAAAGATAGTATGATATTCCCATGAGCGGGTCGACAGTGGTAAGCATTGCCGTTGGCGGGATCTGGAAATGCCAAGGATCTCTTTCGTTGAGAGAAAGTGGATTGGTCCTTGACACACTAGTCATCACCGATGCCATAACATCATGGTATGTGAAGTGTCTCCGAAGGGACTCAATTTCCCAAGAGTTCAGGAAATCGTTTTCTGAGTACATGGAGTTGAGGATTCTTCGGACGCTCTGTAGCTGAGCAAGCCACCGAGTACTTTTGGTGCCATTCAGTGCTTCAAGGCCAACGAGGAGAAGAGTAACGGCGATGACTTGATAGACGTCCATTACCGGCTGACCAATCGGTGAGATCCGCCCCCTGAGGAAGGCATGACATTTGACCTGGTGTTGGGATGATAGGTTTCGAAGGTGTTGGGCTCTATCGGGGTTAGCAGTCCGCCTGGCCAGCTGAGCAGAGGACAGAGCTATGACGGCGTCCAACACCCCTTCAGACTCTAGGGCCATCGGGATGTACAGTCTTGTGTAGAAGCTTGACGGAGTGGTCGCTACAGATATACTCGGAACATATGCATCGATGTAGTAGCTTAGTAAGTGTCTTTTTTCGTTACCCTCGTCTCCGGTAAATGCTGACCACGGATCGACGGATCTCCTCAGAGTGCACATCGCAGATTCTGAGGCAGGAGTCGCAGATCGCGTGGATGTTTCGGTAACGATTTGACGCTGTGTTTGCCATTCACACTTCACGTTGAGACGCGTGCAATTCTGGCAATCTGGGCGTTGGCCATCGCAACGCTTTCTCCGAACACGGCCTACCAAGCCATAAGCTTCGGTCTGACGTAGGCTTGCCACTCTCAATATTTGTATCACTCACATGTCAAGCAGCCTTGTCGCGATCGGGGAGCAAACTTGCGCTGCCTGGGGCGGGGCTCAGCCATCGCGCGCAACGCCGACAATGCTGCGGCGAACTGCTGATCGGTGACACAAAAACGGCTCGTATTGCTGCGCACAGTGCATTCGCTTCAGATGCGGTCCACAGCACCGGAGTTCCAATGAGGGCGACAAGTGTGTTTCAACCAGGTGGTGGGTACCAAGGGACAAAAGGGTGGAGTGAGGATGAGACGATAAAGTGAGCGATCCAAATATACCGCACGGACCAGGGTGCTAATAGAAATGAGGATTAGCGTTTCGGCAACTGGCGCGACCTCGGAAGTTCTTGAGCCGACGCTAGTCGCCCCCATTATCACCAACCTCGTCTTGCGAAAATCAAACAGGTATGCGTTTTTCTAGGGTACCAGCCCGCAGTTTCCTAGTCAATATAAGCCTTGGCCCGACATATTGCTGGGTGGTTCCGCTACGAATGAACAGCACCTTTCAGCACGCGCGTCAGACCCCACGTGCTCTGCGTGGGCTTTTGCATCCTTGTCTATTTCGTCTGTCTTTGGAAATACCTCCAATGTCATCTCCGACGATTCTTAATGCAATTGGCGATCGGTAAGATCTATAAAGATGGGCACATCGGTTCTTTGGAGGCGAGGGATTTCACTCCAGTCCGTCAAAATTAGGCAACATTGCCTCCTCACACTCAAACCCAATGAAGGGCTTTAAGGGGCTTGCGCTCATTGCTTGGGTAGAAATTGGTCTGGCTACTCGCAACGACTTCAATGTGCTGAAGCACTTAGGTGGGAGCAGCCCATGGTTTTCCGGTAAGAGAATTGCTCGAAAACAGCACAAACGATAGTCATAATAATACGTTGCAGGTCCTGAGTTGACAGGTATATCCTCTGAAGTCCCTTCGGGATGCGTTATTGATCAGGCCGCCTTCGTCTCGCGACATGGCAGCCGGTATCCGGATCAAGGTGCCTATAATGAATGGGTGAATCTCTCTTCACGGATTCATGCAGCCAAATTCGCCGTTCTCGACGAGAACCTCAAGTTTCTTTCATCCTGGCTACCTGTATTGAAGCACCCCGCCGAAGAGGTCGCCCAAATATCTACCACAGGGTACAAGGAACTGTACGATATGGGCGCCACGTACCGTCTTCGGTACCCCAATCTCTATGTCTACAACACCAATTTCACCCTCTGGAGTAACTACTACTCCTCAAGCCCGCGCGTTCGAGATAGCGCACGTCTCTTTGCGCGAGGGTTTTTGGGTCCCAATGCAACCGACCTAGGGTCAATATTTGCGATCAATGCCAGCGATCCCCGATCGTTCATGAATTCCCTTGCTCCCTCGGACCTTTGCCCTGCGTATTCTGACAACAGTGGCGGTATTCAGAAAGACACCTGGGATAACATCTATCTCCCGCCTATTCAGACGCGTCTGAACAAGCTCATCCGCGGAGACTTCCAATTCACACAAAAAGACGTCAATATCATTCCATACATATGCGGCTTTGAAACGCAAATTACAGGCTTCACTTCACCGTGGTGTTCCATCTTTACAGAGGAAGAGATTTTGCAATATGAGTATGCGCAGGATCTCCGTTATTGGTATGGTACTGGGCTCGGTACGGATATCGAAAAGTACATGATGGTACCTGTGCTGGATGGGCTTGTTCAGCGATTTGTGGATGGACCTGATGCGATGTATAAGAACTCAGATGGCTCAGCGTTTATGCCTCCCCAGCTCATTGCTGCTTTCTCAAACGACGGACAGATCAATCAGCTCGCAGCAGCAATTGGCGTGTTCGAAGATGAGAGCGATCTCCCTGCGAAGAGAATTCCGAAGAATAGATTATTCAAGGCGAGCAATTTCGTTACTATGCGTGGAACTATTTGCTTCGAGCGCCTTCTCTGCTCCGGTCAAAGAAATGGAAATGCGACCTACATGCGAATACGACTCAACGACGTCGTGTACCCCGTTGCTAACTGCCAGTCTGGCCCTGGGAAGTCTTGCCCGTTGGGCCAGTATCAGACGCTTGTGAAGAACAAACTCGAGCGCGCTGGAAACTTCTCGCATGCATGCCATGTCACGAATCCAGCCGTCCCTGCTAGAAGCAACAGCGCGACATTCTTTACCGATGTCAAGTTATCATTCGAAACCCTCGTCAGGCCGTAATGTACCAATCTGATATCCGTGGGCATATCAGCATATAATGTAATGTGTTGTTTTGCACCTAGTTTTAAGATGCTCTGTAGTGATTGGCTTCACCGCAGTATTCTAGCTTTCAAGCTTCCTCATTCAGCCCTACCTTTGGTGCTCGCGATATCAGTGAGCATAATTCCTGACAGTTCTGTCCATCCTGACTTTGAGTCATCAATGTCAACCCAGGAACATCGGAGGGCGCGTTCCACGCACACGCTCTGACATGAAGCGCTGAATAATGACAAACGGTCCGTGCGTAGAGCTCGTAAAGACATCCTCCTCACTCAGACTTACCAATCAGATGGCTCCATGTCAGCACCCCCCAAGCCACAACAATCCCCGCCGTGCATTTCTTTGACCGACGGAAACCTCAAAAGTTCATGGAAACCCCACGATTTGTTCGGAGCTCACATACAGGTTCTTAGTCTAAATAGGGCCATTCCTTTTATCGAGTGAACTTCTGCGGGAACCTTAACCGACGGAAAATCTGATCAGAAAGCGCACTATTAGTTAGGCGAATTTAAAGATGCAATTGGTCGGTTCAAGAGCACTAGTTCGTGTTTCGTATCGCATGCAGACTAAGTTTGACATGAGGGCGCACGCTTGTTCGCTAGAACAGGGAATGTGGAGGGCGTAGATGACAAAGTTAGGTGGTGACTGAATGAACATGACTCCGACATAGGAAGCAATTGCGAAAGTGATGGAGATGGCGAGTGTATAAAATGGCCAGGTGAGTCCCAAGGACTTGTTCAGCATCACCACCACTACTCCACTCTCTCCCAGCCAATCATCAACTTCCACCTCAGGCCTTCGGTCACGAGCATTATTAGACGTAGTTACCATATTATCATACCATTACAAGTTCGGTCTTCGTAACTTGACTTCAGCGGCTTCGGCTGGAAACTTTTCACACCATACTTCAACACAATACAAACCTTCACCCATCGTATCTACCGGGGTGACTACAACAGTCTCACAACCCATCAACCGCCAATACACCTTCCGAGCCCCAGGCTCTACTGCAACAGAAGCGCAAGCAGAGGCTACTTTTGGCGCATCATTCATATCTCTCCTCAATCTCCACCTCCATTCCATCTCCACTTCAAACGGCAATTCACCAAAAACTCACCATGGGTTCCCAAACCACCTACACCGCTTCAGCCATTAGCTCCGCCCGCCCCTCGTTCGAAACCACCAAAACAGGCACCACAACCTCAACAACCAGTCTCCTCTCCAGCGACCCTATAGCCTCAACAGGCAAGGCCAAAAAAGCGTGGGCGGCTATCAAGAAGCATGCAAAAGAGCACCACCGGAGTGTAAATGCGGCTTATGCAGCGTACTACGGGGCGGGCCAGATGAGGCCTCAGGTACAGCCGATGAAGGGCCCGCAAGGCACGAGGGAGTCGGCTGGTGGGCGGTTTGCTTGAGGGTGAGAGCGAAGGGGGGCGTTTCTTGGAGTTTGGAGATTGGGTTTTCAATTGCGAGGTTGAATGCATGATTGGAGTTTTGTTTAGGTACTAAGCCGTCATAGCATTAGGAAAGTATGATCATCGCTCAGGAAAAAAATTTCGTTCCAATATATCTAATACGTATTCAACTGTCAAGCGGTTGTTCGCCATCGTGGTGTGATTATGCTTCCATACGATTACGTATGGAGCCTTCGTCCATTCACGATGACATACTCCAAGCATGTCACTACGCCATATTTCCCTCCAAAGCCCCTCTGTTCTATTCGTCAGATGCAGCCTCCTCTCATGTATATAAATCCCTTCTCTCTTTCCTTGCCCCCATCCTTCCACACACGCCTTCCAAACAGCCTCACAAACAGCCTCAAAACATACTGCAAACAGATACCTGGTGGTATCTTTTCAGGAGGCTCTAAAATTATTGGCAGGAGAAACCATGTCGAACACTCCGAAGCTAAAGATTCTGCTATGCTTTCAAATATCAGGTATCCTTTAATAAATGGGGCGTATATTTCTCATGCAGGCATTTATGCAGGCATTTTCGCAGGCATTTTTCAAGGCTCTTAAAAACCCCCGCTCCGCAACTCCATGGCTGGTCTCTCTGCTTTCTGCGCTAAAAGGGTTCTCTGAAGCGCAATATCGAGCGCTTAAAAACCTGAGGCAAAGAGGATTGTGGAGAGGAACCCGGCAGCGAGTCTAAAATTTCACGCCTCGTCTTGAATCCTGGTCATCTTCAGACCTACCAGAGTACATAAACGCCCCCGGACTATGTTTCTCGTCTTTCTTTCCCGACCACCACCTCGGTTAGAGGCCTCAAAACCCGTAGGTGCCACAATTCATGTTTGTGGTTGACGTCCATGAAAAATCATATTGGAACTATTCTGTGCCTACCTTTTTAAGACTTAAAACTGTCTCGGCCTTCCGCACGTCTCCTACTGACAAAAAGCTCACCCACGAGATCTCTATGCCGACTAAAATCGAGCCTCTTAAAATGCTTCAACTTTGACTCACATGGCTGTGCTCCCAGCCACTTGTAATACAACAGTTTAGCAACAAGCAGTATGCCTCGTCCAGCAATCAAAACCAAGTCTTTCTATGCACGCCAACGTAGACCGAGAGAGACAGAAGAACTTGAATATATATATTCTACCTGTATCGAGAGATACCCCTCTCCGCTTAAGCTAGTCTTACAAGTGCGGCGCATTACATTGATAGCGGGCTTGTATATAACAAGCGTGGATACTGAGTGGGAGGAATGGATTGTAGAAGAAACCTCTTAAAGTAAAGCGCATATGGATTATCCAGAATGCAACTGAACTAAAATACCACGACCATGAATACTATGCCTGGAGCCACAAACTTCTCTCGATGCAATAAAACCATCTAACATTACGCCAACGTCCACGGTGGTATGGGATTGGAAAAAACTCGGTGGAATGCTCCGCATAATCATCATGGTTGGCTTATACAAAATGGACTAGAGCATGAAACATGGACTTCGAAATAAAATTTTTGACCTAAGACAAATGGAATTTTGGAACCGCTACGGCATTAAATGGATCAACTGGTGGATCTAACGAGCGAAACCATTGACCTAGCCTACTACGGGGTGTAGACTGGACTGCGCAAGGGAAATAAATGAACTACAACTACTCCATGTCCGAAGCAACGCTTTCCGCAATGTGATAAAGAAATTTTCATGATTCGTGAATGCTTTGGGAAGTGATCTTTGAAGATTGTGGTGATGGAAGGGTCATGTCAAGATGCAAGAGTGCGCGACGATTAAGTGCATCACGAACAGAACCCAATAGTAGGAATTTCGGATGGTATGTGGTCGCCTAGTACAAGATGTGGCTAGTATAGAGTTTATCTGTTTGCGAGAGAGGAGATATTGTTGAGGATGTTTATTTCCGTCTTGGATTGTGACTGTCACGCTTTACATTAGGTAATAGAATGAAATAGATGAAAAGCTGCTACCTCGCAGATTGGGAGAGCTTTTATTGGCAGAGATGCTATTGGCCATCACCCACCACGCGCATTGCCCTTCATGGACCCTCGGTCCACCAAGCCTGTTATATCGCACGGTGAGTTGGATAGCTGGCGGATGATAGAGGGCATATAGAGGCGCGAGGGGTCGATTAGGTGACGAGAGCTAAACTAGATAGATTGAGCGATTGTGTAAGATCTCATGGAATCTATCTCGCATCCTCTACGGCGCCGGTGACGCTCGTTTCGAAACCCGGCCCTCCCCAGCGCTCCAAGATTTCCACGATATCTTTGACCGGATATCCTATGTTGGCGTCTTTGGCAGCGATGTCCGTTATCCCCTAATATCCTCTGTATCTAGTCTCTCCCTCTCTGTAACCCAAGCCCCAATACATCCCCGCAGGTGCATTTCTGGCAACACGGAGGCATCACCGGAAAAGTGACCAAACAGGAGCCACTCATCATGGGCCACAAAGCTGTGGGCATCGTACACAGCATCGGTCCATCCATAACCAGCGTCCAGCCTGGTGACCGCGTTGCTAACGAACCCGGGTTTCCGTGTCGACAATGCAGGCTGCGTAAATCTGGACGGTATAACCTTTGTTTAAATATGCGGTTTGCGGTAGACCCGCCGCATATACAGGGTACATTGACACCCTTGTTAAAAATTCCAGACTCACTGGGTTTACAAGAGGCTGTGCTCGTGGAGCTCTTGAGTGTCGCAGTCCATGTGAACCGTCTCACAGACTTGCGACCTGTACAAAGCGTCCTGGTTCTAGACCCCGGTACCATCGACTTGATATGTGCGGCCGTTGCGAATGCGAATGCGAATGCGTTTAGTACAACAACGGCATGCATTGCTGATATCAAAGCCCCTAAATTAGACTTCGCGAAGACCTTCGTCACATGTTCGACAATCATCCCGGATCCGCACTCTAAGCCCGAACAAAACGCTTTCCGCTTCAAGCGCGAATATAGGCTCTCCGAAGGTGCCGATGTGGTTTGGGGTGCATAGGAGTCGAGTCGTCTGCGCAGACTGGAATATAGGCATCAGCCCTGGGGCAATCTTCGTGCAAGCCGGAGTGGGGGAACCACTACAAGCACGCCGCTGCTGGCTATGAGTGAGAAGGAAACTGTGGTCAAGATTTCATTCCGGTACGCATCTGGTGGTTACAAGCTTGCTCTGGAGTTCCTGGCATCGAGGATTGTAGCGGAGTCGTTAATTAGTAGTGCTATGCCTTTTGAGCATGCGAAGGAAGCGTAGGGGAAGAGAAGGAAGGGAGAGGGGACTAAGAATTTGATACAGTGGGTTCATGATTAACCAGCCTCAGAGAGATCCTTGTAATGCAATTGCAGGTCCGGGAATCACACTCATTTTTACCGCTTATTTGCTAGAGTTTTAACAGCTTTCCCAGTAGGATCCCTTACAGATCCTTTCTTTAGGGAGGCTTGATATGGGATAGATGCACACGAGGCAACTAGCCTTAAAACAAACGGTCTCCACTTCCATTTCCCATTTTCCGCGTTGTTATGCCTAGCAGTAGATACCAACGCGCTTCGAATTCTACCCTCAAGGTTTCTCGTACGCTGAAAAGATGGAAATAAGATGAATGTGTCCTCCTTACTACAGTTATTGAGTATAGCCCAGCCATTTTCATCTTGTCGCCCTTGGAAGTCACCACGTCCTTCTCAACGCTAAACATCAAACTTCCCACTTCCCACTCAACTCCAACATATCTTCCCCCACTCTACAGCCACACAACCTTCTTCAATCTCACCACCGTATCCATCTGCGCCTTCATTGCGCCCGGCGTTTGGGCTGCTATTAACAGCCTCGGCGTCGGCGCCGCCCCAAGCCCGTACTGCATCAACGCCGCCGACAGCATAATCTTCATGCTGAAGTTCCTGATCTGTATTTTCCGCTGTTCTCTAATCATCCGGATCGAGCTAAAGTGGGCATTTGTGTCCGGCATGATTGGATTCCCCATCTATGCCGCAAGCCTGTACCTCCATGTCAAGTATGGGATGGTGGTGAGTCATACGGCCTAGGAGAGCTATGCAAGGAGACTAGTATTCTCCGTGTTATATACCTGACGGCAGTGACGGAAGAGCTACGTATCACACTATTTACGCCCCTGTCATGCTTGAAAAATTTAGTGTATGTCCAACTAAGTTATGCAGATTCATCTCCACTCTGTGCGAGTATGAAATCATAGCTAGAGAGGTCAACACCTTTTTCTGCAGACTACTTCGTACAGAATTCCCAAACTACTGGAATATTCAGTCACTGATCGAACATATCACCTACCTGTCAAAAAAAAATTAAAATCTGGTGGGTATATTTAGATAGCTTATGACATCAATGGAAGGTTACAGCCTATGACTCGGTCTCTAGGTTCCGACAAACTCACAAACCCCTTTAGGCCCTCAAATGCTGCATAAACCCATGTGCCCAATCAATCCCAACCGCCAACCAACTCTCCTTACTCTCCTCAATAAGTCTCTCAAATGCCCTCATCGCCTCCTCTTCCCCAATCTCCAGGCTAAGTCTCTCCTGGACCTTCCTCACACTCCCCTCCCTCTCGACCTTAATATCTGGAATATTAGCTCCCTGCATCAATGCAAACAGATTCAAGATCAAATTCGCGCTCTTCCTTAACGCCGCAAAGCTCTCAAGACAGTATTCTTTGAACGATCGGTAGTTCGCGGAGGCTGGGCCACCCATACCTTCCACCATCTCCTTGCAGAGTTTCATGTTGGGCGCGAAGGGCTTGGGGTCGCGGCCGAGGATGTATCCGAAGTCGACGTGGAAGAAGGCGCCAGAGGGGGTGAGGAGAAGGTTGTCTAGATGGCGGTCGCCGACGCCTAGGATGTAGGTTATCACGCAGTAGCCCGCGCAAGATTTGATGTACGTGTCCATGGATTCTTTGCGGACGCCTAGAGGGGCAGTATCGTCAGGGTTGTTTGCGCGGAGGTAGGCGAGGAGGCTTCCTTTATATTTCGACACTGCAGCCGCGAGGGACATTGATGGGACGAATTGCAGGGCACCGGCTTGCGTCGATGTCGCGAGGATTCGGTAGGGTGTGAGTTTGAGGTCCAGGTTTTCTTTTTGTAGGAGGCGGTCCATGAGCGTTATGATCTGAATGACGAGTTGGTCCTGGCGGAGGTCGTCGCCGAATTTGAAGATTATTGGGTATTTAGTGTGGGTTGTGGTTTTGAAGTTGAGGATTAGCGGGAAGAGAGAGGATTTTAGGACATTGCAATCCTCGGGGTAGATGCCGGTAATCATGATTGAGGGATCGAGGGGAAGAGGGATGGGAGGGTCGATGTGGAGGAGCTCGTTCTTGGGGTCTGCGAGGAACTTCTTCAGACGGGTAATCTTGCGCAGGCGATCTTCTCGCGAGAGTTTGATATCCCGTGAGAGCTTGGTGAGGACCAGTAGAAGCTCGCCTTGGCGCTTGAAAGTCTCGCGTTTTTCCCTGCCTTCGGGAGTTTTGTCCAACTCTTCCATGAAGTCGAACTCGACTCTAGCGAAGAGATCGCGATGTTCCTCGGGTTGATCCCTGCTATCGTCGCTGATTTCCACCATCAGGTACCAGTGGAAGAAGTTACCAAGTGTGAAATTATTGGCTGCACGAGTGATGAGGAACTCTGCGAGAGACGAATGGGCTTCTCCAGGTGCTTCATACTTCAAGGCCTGGACAAGCTGTAAGAGGTACACCAGGAGTTCATCGTCGTCAGCTTTCTTTAATCGATCCACGGCATACCCTCTCACCAATGGAGAATCGAACTGGGGGCCTAGCAGCTCGAGGGCATCGTCGACGTCAATCTCGGCCCACTTCTCCAGCAAGGGGGCTCCTTGCCGGAGTTCGATTGGGTCTCTCCAGTTTGTAGATTTAACGAATTTGGTCAAAGCCCGCTTGTCTCTCAGCAAATAGTACCTGAACTTCCAGATCTGGTCCCGGTCATCAGTGTTGATTTCGTGCAGAGGACCGTAGGCCAAGATCTTGTTGAGCTCATCACGAATCTTCACCGTGGGCTTTCGGTCCCGATCTAGAGAGTCGGATTGCTGGCTTCGCATCAGTCTGCGGTGTTTCGACTCGGCTGGGTTATCACCCCGACCAATCTCTGGGTCGTATATTCTAATCAATCGCCCGTCATTGGCATCTCCATATGCATTGCCGTTCACGTTGATACCGGGGCCGAATGAGACTTCGGGAGGCGGTCGAAGCATGATATCGGAGTCGGCGGCCAGCTTGATGGTGGACACGGGGGGTGGAGCATACTCAGTGTCAGCGAAGACTATCGAGTGATCAAAGCGCGGAAGTTCTATGTCCAGGTAGAACAGTTCGTCGTCTGCGGGGTCGCTAGTCCGGTTGGGGGCATCGCTGGCCACATCGTTTGAGAAGGAACGATTATGCCGACGCTGCGCCGCGGCCTCGGCCCTCAGTGCCTCATTCCTTATCTTCATCATCTTCTTGAAGACCAGGCCGTCCAACCACTGATTCTGGGGGATGTCGCCCATCTCCTGCTTCTTCAACAATTCCTCGAGGCGGTGCATCTCTGCCACCTGTTCATCCACGGCATTTTCAGCCACGACGTCGTTCCTTCCCCTCCTGGCCGGTGGCAATACCCAAGGGGTGGCGGAAGAGGAAAGACCATCGGCCGCCTTGAAGCGATGCAGCCGACACCTCTGCCTGCCCTTCTGGAGCGTGTTGTCCTTGTCAAAGAGGGGTATTGTTGTGCCTCCGAATGGAACCGCGTGGAGATTGGAGTCGTTATCCTCCGCGGGCGACAGGTCCCAGACAGTTATGGCGAGTTGCGCCGTAGCGGGGAGGTTAGAATAGGTCACGGGCAGGGCCAGCCACTCGTTCCACACGCGGCTGGTTTTGAAGGACTTGTAGGCAGTTTGCACGGGGAGGGTGAGCGGCTTGCTGTCAGCCCATATCTGGGCAGTCACATATAGCTCAGAATGTGGACTGGGTACATTGTGAGAATGGACGCTTGGTCCCAAAGAGCAGGTTGGCAAACTTGATATTCGAAGCTCGGTGCCTCAGGTCCGGGCGCTTCAGCAGCACGGAGTATGGGATGGGTTTCTGGTGGCCATCCAGACGGTCGCTGCACCAAATTAATACAGGGCTAGGCACGAACATTGGGGAGGAGGGGAGGGGGGGGAGGGGGGGGGGGACACACATGCGAACATGGACGGAAAGCTGGTCTAGGGCAGAGGAAGTGGCGAAGGAGAAGGCTTCCATATCGAGGGGCGTAGTGAGAGGCGGATGCTATAGCATGCCATGGGGACTCCTCATACCGAACATGTACAGGTCACTAGGGGGGGAGGTGAGAAGATGGCAGGAAGCAGCAGGCCAGAGGGTGCGAAGCTCAAGCTCCCGCCGGGGAAATGTCGGTCAAAGCCGCTCATGGATGACGCGGACGAGTCATGGTGCCAGTCAGGGGGGCAGTCAGCCGTGCATCCTGATTCTGCTGTGCTGTTGGTACCCCCCACCCCCTAGCGCGCAGATTGCTCAGGTGAAGTCGCGCTAATTAGCTCCCCTGGCGATTTCTACGGGGCCCTTGCCCTTGTTGCCTCCGCCGCGTCGTGCTTGCCCCCAAAAGCCAGGCCCCTCAACACCAACACCGCGCTTTTGTCTCGATCCGCGATTGTGCCTTCCCTCCCTCCCCCCCCCCTGAGCGGCCGCCCACATAAGACTCTTCCGCCATGGCGCGTCTTAATGCTCATCTGTCAGCCACGCCTCAGAGCCACCGCTCATCCACCGTCGACTCGCTGTATCGCGACCCCACGCCACGGCCACATCTCAACTCTGCAAGTTCGCGACAAGCTGCCACGCTCTCCGCCATGAGCCCGGCCCGCTCGCTGAATTCCGACAAAGAGAATCAAGAGCCAGATTCGCGTGCAAACACTCCTCGGCCTACAAAAGCCAGGCGTCCCATGGCCGCATCAGCACCGCGACTGCCCACCCCTAACTCTGGCCCCGGCTCTGCCTCTGGCTCATCCTCATCTGGCGCGAACAAACGGCGGAGAACCGGTGACTACACTATCACCAACCCTACCGCTATCTCTCGACATGGTGAGGAAGACCTTCACGATGGCCGGGACGAGGTGTCAGAGCACCACGACAATGACGACGACGACGACGACGGTGAGGCTGATGGCACCAAATACTACAACCCTTGTCAGGATGTCAGGTTGCGGCAAGCCGTTCGCGCCAACATTACCAAGAATCTGCGCGAGATGGAAGGTGAGAATTGCTGTCTGGGTGTCGCCTTCCTCTTCTAACAGCCCCTTCCAGAGAACCGCGACGAGTTGATCAAGCCTGGCAATTCTGGCCTGCTAGACCACATCAAACGCGAGAACGGCCTCATGGAAAAGGTCAGACAGACATCGGATGCCGTTCAGGACGCGCGCTTCATGGTTACCGCAAGCGACTACGCCGGCAAGAAGATGAACAACTGCTTGCAGGGCAACGCCGGCGTCGGCGTTGACATAGATGTGTTTGTCTCCAAGTGCATCTTCTTCATGAGGGCAGGCGGGAGGACCGCGGAAGAGGAAGACGGTCGCGCCTCGACGCAGGAGCGTGGCCGAACACGGACTGCCGCCAACGACGACGATGAAGACGATGATTCGGGCGATGGCCTTGACTGGGCTGTCTTGGGACGTGAAGCCTGCTTTCCTTTCAACAGACGCCCCCCGACATGCAGCTTCCTCCTCGGTCCTCTTTCTGTCCAGAAACGCGCCCGCACTACTCAAGCACGCCGTGCTAGGTCGCAGAGGCAGCCTCTCGGCCCGGCTACCAAACCCCAGGAGCTCGAACAGTCGGATCTGAAGCAGTCTGAGAACTCCAATTTGACCCATCTCGTAAAGGGCATCAAGTCGCGACTGGAGAAGCACATCCAAGCCGGTACGAGGAATATCGAGGCTGAGCTTGAGGAGCTCGGCGACGAGCCCGACGATGAGGACTTCAATGCAGCCTGTAGACGGCAGCGTGTCTATCAGTCTCCCGACCAGGAGCCTTGCGTCTCACTGTTTGACTTTGTAGTAAACCCCAATTCGTTTGGACAAACCGTCGAAAATCTGTTCTACGTGAGCTTCCTCATTCGAGAGGGCAATGTCAAGGTCCTCCAGGATGAACACAGTTTACCGCTATTAGGTAAGAGTACGTCTATAATCAAATATCTCCCCAGACTAACTTCGCAAAGTACCCTCCGCACCCCACTCATTGCAAGAGCAACGAGAGCGTAATGTACAAAAGCATCAAGCCGTATTCAGTATCGACTGGCCTACCTGGAAGAAGCTCATTGAAGCCTTCGACATCAAGGAGCCGCTTATTCCCCACCGAGTGGCCGAGGAGACCAACGTCTCAGCGGGAGCCTGGTATGGCTGAATACCATCGCCTACCCTTTGGTCTTGACCGATAGCGTCAGCCCGCGGTCTAATGTCTTCTAGCTCTGTCCGACTACTTAGGTACGCTCCATTCAAAGGGGGTGTTTCGGGTACTATTTGATTGTGTAACGATGGAAGCTATATGTGTAATCCAATATCCTTTCTTGGCGCTGTGGGACTACGGGGGGGTTTAAGAGAATGATGGGCGTGATACTTCTTCTGATTCTTGCGCCTATTATTCTTATTTCTTACATCGGTACTCTGGATCTCTGGATATTTCATACCTATTTACCTCTCGATACCCGGTCTTGAATCTCATTGCGGCGCTTCTTTGCCTGCGGGGAGTAGATGGATGGGACAGATGAGGTCAATAAAGTTCTGATTTTGGAATGCATTCACCCTCTTCTGTCGTGCAAGCTGTGTGAAGTCCTTCAAGCCCTGGAGCGCGTCCTGGAATAGCTATGGGCTGAAGCCGGATGGGAAGGGCGGCACGAAGCGGTTCGGGAACGAATCGGTTCGAGAACGAATGGTCTGTTCACCTTACTGCATCCGTCTTGAAATTGAAAACTAGCTTCGGCTGCAGATGCACGCCCCTCCACTTCCAAGCCGCACTGCAGTCCAGGTGCTCTTATTCCCCTCACCTCTCAGTATCGCCAATGTACTTCTAAGCTTATAAGCTTATAAGCTTCCAAGCTTCCTCATACTCGTACCAGCTATCTTCGTATTCGTACCCCACCATCCCACTTCTCAAAGCATGAGCTACAACTCTCAATCCCCTTCCCTCAAATTCTCCAACCTTACACGATCGGTCTCGAATTTAAATTAACTTCAGCCCCCGAAGCCTTCTTGTGGATACGTGAACATCGTCACGAAGCAGACTCAGACACCCGAGAGCCGGCGGGGCACAGTCAGCCACACTGAGCCCATATTTCCTCACTTCCTGATTAAGTCAGAAAAAGCGAGCATCCATGCATCGTCAACACGATTTCAATCGCCAATGAAGAGATAAGCGCTACTACGTATACCCACATTTAGCAGGGAGTGTATAAACCGCGTGCTCGCTAGCGCTCTGCTCCCCTCCACTCCGATCTGCTTCCGTTCCTTCAACATACCATATCCCACCTCTCACCTCTACACTCCCACCCTACAATAGCCTCACTTGCCCGCCCTCCCCCCTCCCGTTCCCTAGCCCCCGAATTTTCAATGAACATCTCTATCGTCGGCGCTGGCATCGCAGGTCTAGCCGCCGCCATCGCATTACGTCGTGCAGGCCATAACGTGGAAATCTACGAAAAAAGTCAATTCAAGAATGAGATTGGGGCAGCGATTCTGTTGACGCCAAATGGGAATCGCATACTAAGGAAATGGGGATTTGATTTTGAGAGGGCGCGGCCTGTGGATTTTGGACAGTTTAGGTTAGTTTGGATGTGTGTAGAGGGGTCGAGGAATTGGTTGGTTTTAGGGAAGGAATTGAGATATAGAGGAAGTTGAAGCGGAGGGTGAAAAGGGAGTACGAGTAAAACCTAGCTGACAAGGTTATAGATTTGTCCACGGTGAGTCCCTGAAAGTTGTAATCCATGAAGATTTCTCTGGTGTAGAAAGCCGTTTCGGAGACCGCATGTGTGCATATCATCGCGTGGACCTTCATACCGGACTTCGGGACCTCGCGGAAAGGGAACGAGAAGGATGGGCACCACCTGCGAAGATTAAGCTTGGCGCCGAAGTAGTAGGTGTGGATGCGGAAAAGGGCGAGTTAACACTTTCAGACGGGATTAGAGTGGAGAAGGACTTGGTGGTGTTAGCGGATGGATGTCATGCAAGTCCACCGACATGTCCCCTAACTTCAATTGCACAGCACGCCCAGATCCTAATATTAGCAGTGTCCCTTCCTCCTCGACATTACCGGCGAAAACACCCCCAGCGTCAAAATCGGGAAAAGCGTATATAGGTGGTTAGCCCCTTTCGATAAAGTCAAAGAACACCCCGTCGCCAAACAACTTTGGGAAAACCAACCTGCAGGCTTCTGCTCCTTCTTCAACGATAACGGTATCTTCATGGTCACCTATCCATGCCGGAACTCTGAACTTCTCAACTGCGCCGTATTCCACGACACACGGCCCGACGAACGTGACAAAGATGACTGGAACGCAAACACTACCCATGAAAAAGTCCTCGAAGCGTTAGAGGGGTTTAGTGATGCTGTTAGGAATATCCCGCTCACGACTCCGCATATGAAGGCTTATACTGTCACGCAACGGCCTCCAAGTACACGTATTCACAAAGGCAAAGTGCTCGCAATAGGTGACACAGTACATCACATGCTACCCACACATGCCCAAGGCGGAGTCGCAGCCCTCGAGGACGCCGCCGCTCTGGAGGTCCTCTTCGATTCCTCCCGCTTCGCCCCCACATCCCCTCCTTCTCCCTCCACCCTCGAAGCTAGACTCAAACTCTACACAACTCTACGCCTCCCCCGCTCCGCTACAATGCAAATACTCTCATCCACAAATCCACGTTTCACAATGGCGAACCTCGCTACCAAAAACGAAGAGATCCGGAAGTTTTACCAGGGGGATCTGATTGATTGGCCGCTGGGTTGTACTAGTTGGAGTGAGCCGATACGTGAGTTTATATATGGGTATGATGTTTTTTCCGAGGCGGAGAAGGCGATGGAGTTTAGGGAGAGGGATGATGGAAAGGTGCCTGATGGCGTGCTTAAATGGTTTGGAGAGGTGGATGAGAAGTGGACAAGGAGTGAGTATGCGGGTTTGGCATAGGAGTTGTTAGGGCGGGATTTAGGTCGGGGTCTATAAGGGTGACTAATAGTGGTAGGAATGTAGTAGCCATAATTGACTGTAGGTTGTGCGACGTTGGGCAATGAAATTGTGAGCGTTTCTGAGCGATATCGCTGCTTCTGATATTATGTCAGTTACAAAGGCGTCCACCAGCACTGAGGGATAGAATTCCTTGATCAGTGTATGCCATTGCATCGTTTCCTTACCGGTCAGAAACGCCATAATATGTCTTGGTCACCAATATGTTGGGCAGCGGCGAGATGTCCCTTAAACTTCCTTATTTCTTTGTCCGCACCTCTAAAGCCAGAATTACACGCAAGCAAACGAAACGCAACTCATTTGTCCCCAAACAAACGTGGAAAAAATACGCCAATTTCCCATCTTCATCACGAACGGTATGGTTCCAAGTTGGCTCACTTCGCTAAAAACTAGGAGGTTTACAGGGAGATTCATATAAGGGAAGTCCTCATCCCCAAGTTCAAATATATGGTAAGTTCTTCTTCTCTTTTCGTGATTGTAGCTTCGTCTTGTTGATAGATTTGATGAGCCTTTAGAAGTGTAAAGAAGCTGCCCTGTCGAAGCTAAGTTTTGGTGAATTCTGGACAGGCTTGAAGCTTGTACGGGTACACCCAACCATTGTCAACGCCAAGGGTAATAGTGACACTATCTTATCAAACACCTTTCTTGTCATTGTTGTAACATCGTGAAGCCCCGGGATAAGGAATATCTGAAATCGATGCTAAAGGAAGGCTCGATTTTGGGGATACTTTAACTAGTCCGATCCATTGCGTAGGTAGCACTTTCGCCGGTTCCCCTTTCTTGCTTCCTCAGCCAAAACAGAATCCTATATTACCCTATGTTTGGGGTATATAAGCCCCCCATCCTTCAGCCTATTTACCCTCCTGTCCTCCTACACGCCCTGGTCTTCGACACTCGAACATCGGTTTGGAAAATGCAAAAGCCGTCAAATATGGTCCCAGCCTCTAAATGAGATGAAGGCAGAACTCATATTCTGGTCGCCGTGGATCAACCTTCCTACACTTGTCTTACTTTTCTAAACAATCCAAACTCTCGATTCGGAGCAGTTTGGGGGCTTTGAGGCTCCAGCTCGACGCTTGTTTAGTCAGTTAACGCGTTCCTAGCTTTCGACAAAGTCACCGTACAACTTCGAGATGTCGTCCCAACGCACGACTATGTCTATACATCATCATGTCACCTCCAAGCTCCGCAGACTCACCGTTGGTACCGCTGCTGACCGACCGAAAGATGTACACAAGGCCTGTCACGTCCTCATGCTTCTCGAGCCCGTTACGGCCGATCTCATGTACTAAGCAGCAGCCAGATGTCCAGTATCAGCTCGTGGAAGGGGAATACGGTAGTTAGGGGTACCCAAGATGAGATGGGGTAAGGGGGCCTTGGATATAGTAGGCATAGCAGCAGACGGTATAGAATTAGCATGATATCGAGATCGAAGCCCGCGCTTCGGAAAGTAGGTTGAATGTCACTAGCAGAACGCGGTCGCTGCAATTACATACAAGGCAGAAAGGCTCTGCATATCTTAGTGATATACGGATTAGTTGTTACCCTGTCAACAACGAACGGCTCCTTATATAAGCACTATAAACTTTAGCGCCGTAGAAATGTGCTTTAGTTTAAATTCTTAGGGTCATGAGGAGTTCTTATCGTTCATGTTCATGAGGGCTAGGTACGGTAGATCTAACAGTCGGTAGCTATACCCAGTACAGCACTGCACTATCTAGGACGTTAATGGCCACCCTTAAGCTGGAGCGGGTCGTCGACCTCCCCGCTAGCAGTAGCGATGTTAAGTGCTAACTTAGATCAACTGCTAGATGGTATTTATAAGCATGCTCATGCAGCTTGACTATTTTATATATGTACTAGCTTCTGCCTTCTGCTTTAAACAAGAACTAATTTTCTAAGCTACTGGAACTTTTGTTCCATAAGTAGTCTCTTGAAGGCGAAAACTAGGACATTTGTAAGCGGACAACATAAAGACAGATAGTCCTTTTGAGCGCCAACCTTTACATCCTCCAGCTTCCATCTATTAAGAGTCTCTAGTGATTGCTGTAGTTGGATAGGTTGTTCTATAAAATAGCCTCGTTGTTGCACCCTGTAACGTAGATTTAAGATTGGCCATGCTGGTTAGCGTGTCTGGATGCTCTCGCCAAGCACCGTCGAACTAGAGCATAGACTAGTTCTCCTCCTGAGCCTTCATTCCTTCACAAAGACGTTAGAGTTTAATCAGGGACGTCCTTGGGCTCAGCCTTATACTCTAACATAAGCGCCTAGTTCATTATTTTATAAACATGGAAGGAATATGTTGCATCAGCCTTTTTAATTGCTTGGGGTTTGCTTCTTGTTACGCAAAATTTACACTGAGCGCTCAAACCTATCACGCTTCCTGATAGAAAGAGAGAAGTGATTGGATTGTAAAATTAGCCTCTCCACTTTGTACTCCCGCAATCACAAGAGAAAAATGACACGTTGCTTATTAGCTAGTCTGAGTAACCATCAAGTCGACATTTATAAAACTTGTTTCCAACCCCTACTTCCAATATTTTGCATCTTATGATCATAGTCTCATTTTCTGAATTCCATTTTGGACTACGGAGCGAGAGTCAGAACACGCGTCAACATGCAGAGCATGAACGGCAGCTCAATGTATGCTTTAAGAGATGTCCCAGGGAAGGGCAAAGGCCTCGTCGCGATCGAAAATATCCCCAAAGGCACGCGAATTCTTTCGGAACAGCCAGTTATCACGACACCCGAACGCCAACAGGACGATGAGTGGCTAAAGAGACACATATCCCAGCAAGTCGATTCCCTTAGTGAACACCAACGACAATCATTCTTCTCCTTGTACAACCTCTATCCATACCAAAATGTCGCCGAGCAGTCTCTCGGTATCATTCGAACGAACGGCCTCCCCATCGAGGCCAACGGAATCGAAGGGGGAGTCTTCCTTGACGCCTGCCGCATCAACCACGACTGCGATAACAATGCACAGAAACACTGGAATCAGTCCATCAAACGACACACTGTCCATGCTTTGAGAGACATTCCCAAGGGCGAGGAGATCACAATATATTACCTGCGTCTCGATAGCAACCGCGCAATCCGCCAAAAAAAACTCCAGGACAAGTTTGGATTTCTATGTTCCTGCCGTCTGTGCTCTTTACCAACACAGCAGAGCCAGGAAAATGATAAAAGGTTGGAGAGAATTGCCCAGCTGGATGATCTCATTGGCCGCGACGGTATGCAGTTGAACTTTTGGCTACGAACCCTTCGCTATGTTGATGAACGGGTCCGTCTCTACAATGAACAAGGACCAGGCAACTCTGGTCTGCCGCGCGCGTACCTCGATGCCGCTCAAATTGCTATCGCCAATGGTGACTTGGCAAGAGGACGCATCTTTGCAGAGAGGGCAGTGGAAGGATGGCGGACGGCCTGTGGCAGTGACAGCAAAGAGGTGATTGAGCACCGTTCAATAGCACAAGACCCCGCCAAACTCCATCTATACGGACTTTCCATGAAGTGGAAGACATCTGAGGAGGAGGTTCCACAGGGACTTGACCCGAACGACTTCGACGACTGGCTCTGGAAGAGAGAGAAGCCAAAGAAGGTTGAGCAATTGGGACAGTTGACAGATCTTCGCAACCGCGAGATCTTCCCTAGCTTCGCTGCTCTCCCAAATAGCAATAAGGTTGATTTAGACTTCTATGAGAAAGTCGATGATACCTATCAACCGCTACGTCTCTGGTGCTTCCTGGGAGAAATTGTCGACTCCATCACGCTTCATCATCTAGAGTTGACGCTCACGGATATCGACGATAAGAAAATCCCACTGCACTTCAATACTGATGGCCGAGGCAGAGAATTGGCACCTGCGCAGATTCAAAAGGGGCATACGGTTGCGGTTCTTCATGCACAACGTCGCGTATTTATGTATGGGGATCCTGGTATTGGTCTTGGGGATCCCCAGATGCTCAAGGTACGTACTGCCAATCCTTACAATCCAGCTTCGTTAGGTTTGCTGACGTAGTTCGACTCACGAAGATCTTCCCAGTGTCACTAAAGAAGTTGCTGGAGTTGAACGACCAGGTTCAAAAATTTTCGACGAAAGTTGATGGAATCAGAACGTGCCATGGGTGCAGCAAGAAGGCAGCCTCCTTGAACCGATGCGGAAAGTGCCTGTTATTCTGGTATTGTGATAGTGTAAGTCTGCAATCGATGCTTCCTGTAATTTTGAGGACGTTACTAAAAAATTTTATTGCCAGGGCTGTCAGAGAACTGGTTGGAGCGAGAGAGGCCACAAGGCTAATTGTAAGCTGCTAAGAGACCCTGGCTTGCGAGGGTTGTTTTTCCTCAAATGGGACTAGGGAATGAATCAACACTTACTTCTTGGGCACGTGTTATTTCTTTCCCATAGGGAGGGCCCACTAATTAAGTCCATCATATTGGCATGGTTGCTTTAACCGACCCTTTCCGGCCATATTTGGTATCAAAGCCCGCAACTATTTGCACCCTAGCGTTCAAATCCAAATGGAAACCTTCTGTTAGCCGGGCCAACCTCTTCCCCTTCTCTGAATAAGTGACTCCGACAATGACCCTAGGGTACTGTGCATTAATGTACCAGAAAGAAACATCCAGCTCGTGCTTCGGCTTCGTGTTGGGAGGAGCACTGTCGACTGGGAAATAGATCTTTGTAAAACCAGCCTGATTCACACTCCAGGCAAAAGCGCTGCGCCACCGGATGCTTCAAGAATCGAATTCAGCTAGCTATATGTGGCATCCTCAATACGAAAAGTGAACAGTTCGTGTACGGCTGTAGGCATACGAACGACAAGCCATTTGCTTTCTCCGTTATAATCATACCTGCCAATTCCAGTCGCTAGCCTCCATGCTCACTGTGTCTAGAGCACTCCCACCCTATCTTGCCTTTACCGTAACCCAATAAATCATTGTTCTGCTCAATTCAAAGCCCTATCTCCTCATACTCTCCTTTGGCAAGCTGAAACTCTATCTGCGGTGAGGACTCGATGGACTTGCGCGGACGCCTTTTTGTCGGTCAGCGGAGGCGTTAAAAAGTCCCTCGCAACGCTTGTAGGCGATGCCCGTGCGATAACTGTATCACCAAAATATGCGGAGCCTTTCCACCTTTGTATATACTTGAAACGACGGCGTCATACCAGCGACACTCAACCTACTTTCTGAAGCGTAGGCTTCGATCTCTAGAGCCACCCACTCCATCTTATCTTATACCTCACCTATCTCATCGTATTCCCCTTTAATGGGCCGAGACTAGATATCCGGTTGCTGCTTTGTATAGGGATCTGTTATGACCGGCTCAGAAGTACAAGGATGCGGTAGGCTTGAGTAGGTTCTTTGGTAGGCGGAGAGAACAACAGCGGGTTTTAGAGCTTAATGGCGATGTGATGGTATGTCTCCAGGTGACAGAAGCTATAGTAGACATAGTCGTGCATTAGACTGCATCTTGAAGTTGTGTTAGGGTTATGCGCTATAAGAACAACTATTCTCTTTTGCTAATCAACACTTGTATCTGTTAACAATGAAGAACTTATTGCATGAGAAAAGCTATTATAAGTAGAGCAAAGTACATACTTTAGTAGTGCTGATGCAACTTTTAGAGATGTAGTAAAGCTATTGCAAAAAGAAAGCATTACTAAATGTAACTTAAATAAACACTTAACACTGTACCATTTTTTAAAAGAAACTTTGTATAACCTTTTTTGTTAAAAAAAGGTAGATAATATATAAAAGTTACTATAAAAATAAAATTTTTGTTTCAAGTATAATTAAGCAAATCTTCTCTATTAAGCATTTAATATTATAAAGTATTTAAACAGGCAAGCAAGTGAGTTAGCTTCACTACACGTTGTGTACAAGCCCTTAGGGTACTCAGGGGTTGGATGGCTGTAACATAACCGTGATATCTAGCCGGCTCGGTGATCTATTACGTTAGTAGTGAGCTAGAACCTAACTCCTCTATGTCTAAAATTACAGACAAGGAAGTCGTGTTAGAAGAAGAATTCTAGAACAGCTTGCAATATACTATATAGGAGGAGAAAGGACTAAGTAAAACATCTACTAACTAAATTCTAGAAGCACCTCTACAACCCTACTCTAGAGAACAGAAGAAAGCTGTACTAGCGTCTTAAGTAGGGAGCAGAGGATTCTAACAAAAAACTCTATAAAGAAGATAAGAAACTCTAGTAGATAGAAGACTCTATAACACTTTAAAAACAAAGTGTCTACTTTACGATAGTAACATGTTACAGAAAACACTCTACTTGCAGTGGCTGTGCACAGTCTTAACAAGGGGGCCGACCTTAGCTCTGCAGCCTTGCGATCTAATTCAACGTGGCCCTGCCTCCAGTTACTGCAACGAACTCACCTCTTGCGGAATTCGCCGCCTCACAAGAACAGGGCGGGAGCGGCTCCGCCATCATCCCTACTAGGTAGTGGGCCGCCTATATGCTTACACAGCTGCTAACATGCTGAATAGGTACCCCAAGTGGCAAGGGTACTCTAACACCTGTGTTGCCACCGGCACTATCTAATAATCTGGAAGTCTTCGGCTGAGACCTTGTCTAACTAGGTGACAGAGCCAGCTGTCACGCCTTGCTCATTCTTAATGCCCGTTGTAAACCCTCGTACGGACTTTCCAGTCACCTCAAACGCATCACATCCCCATGCGCTTTTATTGTTATGCCCTAGTACTTGATCGAAGTATGTTTTAGAACCAAAAGTCTTCAAATAGCATAAATCATACGATTACTTCCGCTCCCACCCGAGCTTTTGCAATACCCTGTGCCGTTTAGAAGCCAACTTGACCGGCTTTGCGGATGATTCAAAAAATGTTTCTGCATGCACATGCTCCTGTACTGGCACGCTCTCGCTCATAGACCCGATATATTCTCTCTCTTCACCCAAAGCAGCAAGAGTATCGCGTAAAGTCTTACACTTTATATGGTCTTTCCCTAGCACCTTTTCATATCCTGAGAGAGCTTTGGAATACCAGATTTTAGCATCCTCGGCACGGCATTGGTCCTTGGAGAGGGAAGCAAACCCCCACATAGTATTCAGCGCTGGGATATAAGTAGAGAGGCGGTCAAGCCCGATTGCATTCTCGTATCCTCGCAGCGCCCGCTGGTACATCTCCTCTGCCTCGTCTATCCTGCCTAGGTCCGCGTAGAGAACGCCTAAGTTGTTGACCGTGTCGAGTGTCGATGTATGCTCAAATCCCCATGCCTTCTCCTTTCCCCGCAGCGCCCGCTGGTACATCTCCTCTGCCTTTTCCATCCTGCCTAGGTTCGCATAGAGGTTTCCTAAGTTGTTGACCGTGTCGAGTGTCGATGTATGTTCAGATCCCCATGCCTTCTCCTTTCCTCGCAGCGCCCGCTGGTGCATCTCCTCTGCCTCGTCCATCCTGCCTAGGTCCGC